TCACGAACATTACTCACCCCATCATGCTTGGTGTTGATCAGTGTAGTGAGATATGCACCTATCTCAGCTTTATCAGACCTCTTGAATTTCTCTTCAATCCTAGCCATATAATCCTTGGCTAAGTCACATCTAGGTATACCACCACAAACATGCTCTTCCATAGCATTTTGCATAATGAGGAGAGACATTTGATTAGCTCTCTCCCATTTTGCATAAGTCTCCCTATGTTGTGGAGTGCTTGAATTAGTTAATGCAGCAGGTTGAGGGGTCTTGAAAGCCATAGTGAACTCTAACATTCCCAAATTCAAGTTCATCTGTATTTGATTCTTCCAGGTGTTGAAGTTGTTACCATTTAACTTCTCAATATTCACCAAATTCAACATGTTAAAACCTGCAGATAACATGATTCTTTCATTTGTGAGTTCATAATTATTTGTGATCAAGAAATTAACTTGATATTCTTGTCACACTTCATTATAGAATAAATGTCACCTTTAGGCAAGACACTATCCATGTACATAACATGAACTCCAAGAAGTTTTGCATAGCCAAGGATAAAAATGCATAGATACATGTAAAGTAACACCTTTCGGCAAGTTAATTTTACACACTTAATATGATCATCATCACTCATTATACAACAGTGTATAAGCAATCCCAATAATCAATTTCTTTGGAAACATTCTTACTTGTTAACCTTATAAACTGGTTTAAGTGTTCATTTCGATGTTTAATAACTTGACATCAGTACATACACTTTGGCGTACACCAACTATGACACATCAACACTTAATGCTTTATGTGACTCAATCTGCATAAATTTATCAGTTCATATATTCAAAGTCAAGTATTAATATTTTAGTAGATCAATGTGTAGTAGAACTCATGGAGTCATAATTGCAGTAACGGAATCAAGCAAACCATTACAACAAAATAGTCTTTAACTTATAAAACTGATTATTGCAGAATTTTAAACAACACAGATTGAGTTCACAAATCTGTCCATAATCATGATTGTAGAACTTGAATTAACCTAGCTCTGATACCACATGTTAACTTTAACTAAAAGGATCCAATCAACCAAGTTCTAAACTACATCAACATCAAGTTTATAATGCATGCGTGTTGATAAGTTTCTGCACTAAATGCATAAACTAGCATGAACCCTAGCGACATGCAAATGTACGTATGCACTGACCAGAATTCGTTGCCATGCTTCTTTTTATGGTGGTGTCTTCTCTTCTCTCGTACACAATGCTTGTACGTTCATGAGTCACAATGAGACTGATCCTTCTTAATAAACACCAAGGTTATATACCGAGAAGAGGGACCAATCCACACCGTCAATTTTGGTAACTGCCTCATCCCATTACGATGGCAGTTACCATCAGTTTTCGAATTGCAAACCAACTGCCTTATAGTTTGATTAATGACATGTGGTTTATATCATTTTCCCTCCATTATATATTAAGTTTGTCTGGATACAAACTATTACAAGTTCGAATGTGTTATAGCTCATTCCTAAGTTTATTTGCTGTCTGAGTTTTGATGAACTCACTAGAATTCAAATGTGATGAAATCACATGAATTCCAACACGGCCAAGTTCTTATTGTACTATAGGTGCGTTGGCATAACATCCGGAAACAAGAATAATTCATAAATCTACTCTACTATATTTTACATTTCGCTGATAGCTTCATAATTTATTGTAAATCTTTCAACAGAAGAGAGATAAGTATTTATGACACTATTTGCACTAACTGCCATATCATTATATTCAAACTGTGATTTGTAAATAAAGAAGAAAGACTTTGTTTAAAAAAAAAAAAAATTACAAAGATATACTTACACTAAAGAGGATGAAAATATGGCTAAGCCTCACATTAAGTCAGTCATAATAATTCAGTTCAGGCTATTCATTCACGAGACCAAAACGTAAAACTTATTTGACAAGTGGAAGGATACAACTAGAAATACAACCCTAATAAATTAGTTCGGATTATTCATTCACGAGATTCAAACCCTCAATGATAAATATAGAGAAATAAACTAGATTGTAATATTGAGTAGTTTGCTAGTCAATTCCAATTAGAAACTTATAATTACATTATTCCTTAAAAGTAGTTTGCTTGTCGAAATATTTAGTCTTTCCCCCAACCAACCAACACGTGATTTTACACAGCTAACATCACCTTGTTTCGGAGGCTACATTGTTGTACTAACTACTTGGACATTCTTGAAATCGTTTCAGAGGGTAAAAGGTTTTTACTTACAAACAATCAAAAAGGGCGGAGCCAAGTACAAGGCTCCCCTAGGCTATAGCATAGGGAGAGTTTGGTTCTTCAAGCTTAAAAATATTAATTTTGGATTAGTTTATGATTTTTAATTGCCATATTCCACTTAACAAATGAATTTTTTTATTAGTAAGGCTGTTTTTAAGAATAATAAGAGCTAATAGATGTTAAATAAATTCATCACTTTAACCAATATTATATTTAATAGAAATAAATTTAAACTTTCATACCACAAATGATTTCTTATTTTATTTACTTGAAAGCTTTGAAGGCCAGAAACCTAGAGCATGATCAATAGATAGTTTAAAGCACAGTAATTAACAATCCAAAACTTGCATGCATCAATTCATAAGAAAATTAAAAAGAGACTACATATTCTTGCTAACGATCATGATCTCACCCTAGCAAAAATGATTAGTTACGCATATTCATAATTAAAATCAACATAATTGTATTAAACTAGAAAAAGAATGAAAACACCTGAAAGTATAAGTCTTGAAATCTCTAAGCTTTAGCCAAATTCTTCTTCTCAAATCTTGCGTACGTTCTGAAGAGACCCTAGGTCTGCCAAAAGGCTTATTTATACTACTCTAATTAAAATCCTCCTAGTAAAAGGTCTTAGAATCAGACTAGGAAACTAAATAAATTGAAATAAAATAGGAAACATAATCTTAAATTGACTTGGTAAATTCGCCTAGAAATCTGCACAACCACGTTCTGGACCCATATCAGCTCCAAAACTGGCCCAAAATGCTGGATTTAAAGTTTGGACTATTTTGAACACTTCTCTAGAAGACCACGAACCCTTCTGAGGTTATCTTGGGCTCCAAAAATGCAATTTAAGCCCAGAAACGTCACTTTCTAGCAACGCGCACTACTTCTTTAATAAATCGCCAGAAACTAACTGCTTGATAGAAAAATCTCAAATTTTGATATAAACAAGCTAAGGAACACACAAACATCCTCCAATTTAAATCACTCCAAAATTCATCCGTTTGATCACATTTTGCTCCAGAGGAAATCAAATGTTCTATATTGAAAATATAAAAGAAAGTATCAAAATTTTACCAAAATAAATACCAAATTATACTAAGAATAGGGTAAAATATATAATATAATATTGACTCATCAAATATCACCTATACATGTCTTCATATGCATTGTTCTAACTTACAAGAATGCATACATAAAGAAGTAACCTGTATTATTTAGCGTAATGTTAGGGAGACAAAATTTAAACCAAATTTTGTAAACTATATGACATAATTGTTGGTGATTAGATTATTACGTAAGTGTTGAAAATGTATTTATTTTCTGTTGGGGACACATCATATGGTTTGCAACTGGGTTTAAAATTTTGGTTTACCTAGCATTACTCATTTATAAAAGGTGTTGCGAGAAATATTTTCATCCTGCACTCTTCTGTATATGGATTTATTAGGGATGTAGGTTGTATTATTCTTGAATTTTGTGGATATCTTGAAGTATTAGTTTTGCTCTTTCTCATTACTTATGTCATGGCTGTTGGAGCTTATATGCGAAGTGCGGTCACTAAATTTCCTATGCATTTTTTTTGTTTTGTTTTTAAGATCTGACTTTTTCTTGTTAGGGCTCAAGGAGTTGTCATATTTTGTTCGTATACAAATGTTTGGATTGCTGAACACATGGATTGGTTAGGATACAAATAGCATTTCAACGTTTGTAGCAGCAGTAATTGCATTATTTTCACTAGTGCATTTGTTCCTCTCGTTTTTAGCATTATGGATCAACATTTGGATTTTGTTATTTTTATTTATGAAGTCGCTTCAAGAGGAATCAAGCGCTGTGGTTATGAAGAGTACCGTGGGACTAATGGCGCTGAACTGATACGAATTAAATGATCGAACAAGCAGTGCCACTCCTCCATTAAGGAGGCGGTCTTTAAGTTTTTCACGTGTTCAACCTTCTCAAATAGATGACGGCAATGAAAGTGAATGTGTGTCGGAGGCAGGAGATATTGGAGATCGCGCCCATCACAGCAACAGGCACAGTGAGAGTGGCAGTGTCTGCTTATTTCCTCCAGAGGACATTCAACTGCAATCCTATGGGTTCTGGGGTCGTGAGCCTGTTACATCCAAAGCAATTCCCCTGTCTCTCCCTTGCTAGAGGAAATCATATCTCCTCTTTCCACTGATGCGATCATACAAGAGGACAAAAAGCAAGAGAGCTTTTGGTTTATACTTTTGTCATCGCATATAATCTTTGCTAGAGATCCTTGATCATGTACGACATTTGGTTTGTTTGTTCATTCATCTTGAAAGTAACAAAGTTAAACATGTTTGAATTTTCCCCCTCTTTGGTGGAATCATGCTACTAACATAAAGTTGTGTTTTTATATGCAGGGAAATACGATAAGGTTCCCAAAATTCTTGGAGTACGGTTTATGCATGGTTCATTTAGCTGTTTTTGGCATTCTCAAGGTAACACACTTAACTTTGTTTCTCATTGTATACCAAAGTGCATTTTACTTGAATCCCATATATTGAGTTTATAGCTGTTGTTGCATTCGTTTGTCAAAATTTGGATCTTTGGATACTTGTGGAAGAATACATTAGCCATATTCTGGTCTTTACAATTGAGATAACTAGATATTATCATGCGTTGCAAAAAATTTCCTTGCTAAAAGTACTTTTTTGTGGAACTCTGCCTAGATGAAGATGCTTATAATGATCAAATTGTATCAGTTCTATCTTTATATTGTGAAACACTTGAGAACAACAAAAGTATTTGTTAACGAAAATCTTTGATCATGCTCTGGCAGGTGGGGATTTCTTTTTGTCTTCTTGACAAACTGAATGTCATTGTGACACATCTTGGTAGATATTTCTTTCATATCATGAAACCTACTTGTCAAGTAGATTATTTGACAGGCAGCATTATGCAGGTCTTAACGATATATCTGCTGCAATAGTTGTTTGGCAATTCCAGTTGGTGTAACAAGCAACCAAACCATTCTCTACCTTGAGTTTCCTTCGAATATGGTGTCTCTCTCTGACGCTTACTCACACATATGCACAAATGTACTAGTGCCCTTTATTTGGCAGTGTTTTATTAATAAACATGTTAACGTAAAGTTGTTAAACATGAGTGTTAGGAGGGACTTGTATTGGATTTGGCTCCTCACCGGATCCCCTCCCTGGGGATCCTAGGGATCAACACATGGGGACCGTTGATAAAAAATCGTGCGGTCGTAATTTTTTATTTTATTTTATATTTTTCATGCAAAACGAGACTGCTTTACTTTTAAAAATTTAAAAAGCATTTAATTAAGACCGCACGATTTTTTTATCAACGGTCTCCGTGCGTTGATCCCTAGGATCCCCAGAGAGGGGATCCGGCAAGGATCCAAATCCACTTGTATTACACATGGTATCGTAATTACTGAAGTTTAATCAAGTTCCTTAGTACCTCTGTTTTCCTGGTTTTTTCTCTTCATCTTTTCATTTCTAATGTCATATTTCTTGGGAGTAGCAATATGGAAAATGTTGGATGATGTGCCAATCCAGTCTTTGTTCCTAATGCATTTTTGTAGGTTTGCTCTTTCTTGATGGGGTGGTTGGGTGTTGTTTTCAAAGGAGATATATCGTATACGTCCGATTATTTGGCCATTGGATTGTCAACCGGTTACTTGGGAAGCCTTACATCTTTTAGCGGTGGGAACCAGAAAGTGCTTGAACTTAAGTGTTGAAGGCCATTGGGTTTTTGCTGATGTCATATTTACATGTAGCTGGCTATGGCTAGCGTAATGTTTGAATTTCATTTGAATCTAGCTGGTCTCAGCTTTGATGCCTATTATCCAGGGATTAATCACAAACCCAATGTTGCTCAAATTGCTGGACTGATCTGAGCTTCTCTTTCATGTGACGGATTATATCAGGTTTGTTTCTTGCCACCAACTCCATCATTTTCGGGGTAGAGACAGCAAAGTGTTTTAGGCAGCTTATTGAGAGAAACTCAGTATGTGGTATCACTAGCTCTATAAGGAGCTTGAGGGTTGATAGCTACAAGCGTCACTTGGTAGCTTTAGCAGTGTTGTTGTGGTTGGGTTGCATAGTTGGACCTCTTGGTGTGCGGATCCGGTGGTTTTTAGCCCTGCTTAATGGCCGTGGATTAGGAAGGCGGGGTTGTTGAAATGGGTTCCATTTGGTACTCTAATTGCCAATGTTTCTGCAGCTTGTGTCATGGCTGCCCTGTCTTCTGTGAAGAAAGCGGTAAGTGCTTGTGATATGATCTTCCTCCACATCCACTTCATGACGTCATCCTCACCGTTACTTTTTGTGTTTTATGGTCTTCGGAAAGCTTACAGTTCACATATATTTGTCACATTATAAACTGCCAAGTTTGTTACTTTGGGCTCTTTTTCTCTCGTCGAGGTTTTAGAAGCTTCTTGGGGGAATTCTTGAAGTGTACTCGTTTCTTTTACAATGTTCTGCGTGTTACCTTTGTCCTGCGTTTTCTTGGTCCATGAAAATCTAACGAAATATATCCTTCAGAACCTTTTCTGTTTGCTCAGATGAACACTAAGACTAGTGACATTGTTGCAACAGGCATACAATTTGGATTTCTGGGTTGCACGAGTACTGTTTCTACCTTCATTGCTGAGTTCAATGAGATGAGAGAGAGCAAATATTCTCGGAGAGCATACGCATACGCCATGGCTACGATATGCACCTCGTTTGGTTTGGGGTTCATGATATATTGTGTACCTGTTTGAACAAAGGGATACAAGTAGTTGCATGCTCAGGCCATTGTTTTGACGTCTAATCTGTGGCTATACCTTGAGATTTTATTCACCCTCACTGGCTTCAATCTGACCGAAGGACAGGGCACCCTTCTGCCTCTTGAGTGTGTCACAGAATCTGGCGGGAGATACTTACACGAAATATTTTTCTTGTATCCGTCTCTGCCCTCAGGCGTTGTGACAGATGCATGGGGGTATGCACCTGGTTTCATGTTAGTTTCTGTCATCTCGCAGAAGTATCTCCAGATCGGGCTGCAACCAATGCTAGCTTGGACACCGCCAAGTTCTTATTGTACAACAGGTGCGTTGGCATAACATTCGGAAACAAGAATAATTCATAAATCTATTCTACTGTATTTTACATTTCATTCAATAGCTTCATAATTTATTGTATATCTTTCAACAGAATAGAGATAATGCACTAACACCATATCATTATATTCAAATTGTGATTTGTAAATAAAGAAAATTTACAACGATATACTTACACTAAAGAGGATGAAGGTATGGCTAAGCCCCACATTAAGTCAATCATAACAAGTTAGTTCAGACTATTCATTCACAATATCAAAATAGAAAACTTCTTTGACAAGTGGAAAGGAATACAACTAAAAATACCACCCTAATAAACAAGTTTAGACTATTCATTCATGAGATTCAAACCCTCAATGATAAATGTAAAGAAATACGAGTAAATTTTAATATTAAGTAGTTTGCTTGTCAATTCCAATTAGAAACTTATAATTACATCATTCCTTAAAAGTAGTTTGCTTGTTGAAATATTTAGTCTTTCCCCGAACCAACCACCACGTGATTTTCCACAGCTAACATCAACTTGTTTCGGAGGCTACATTATTGTACTAACTACTAGGACGTCCTTGAACTCGATCTCTACCTTGATCTTCTTTCGAACATGGCCTCTCTCTCTCTCTCTCTCTCTCTCTCTCTCTCTCTCTCTCTCTCTCTCTCTCTCACACACACACACACACTCATACACTCACTCACTCACACACGTGCACATATGTACAAGTGCCCTTTATTGGCACTGTTTTATTAATAAACATGTTAACGTAAAGTTGTTAAACATGAGCGTTAGGAGGGACTTGTATTACTCATGGTATCATGATTACTGAAAGTTTTTTCTCTTCATCTTTTTATTTCTAAAGTCATATTTCTTGGGTAGTTATATGGAAAATGTTGGATGATGTGCCAATGCAGTCTTTGTTCCTAATGCATTTTTGTAGGTTAGTTCTTTCTTGATGGGGTGGTTGGGAACCGGTTACTTAGGAAGCCTTACATCTTTCAACGGTTCGAACCAGAAATGCTTGAACCAGAAATGCTTGAACTCAGTGTTGAAGGCCTTTGGGTGTTTGATCTGCTCTGTTTTTTAATAGGTAAGATGTCATACTCTAAAGAATTGCTGCAGTATACATGTGGCTGGCCATGGCAAGCATAACGTTTGAATTTCATTTGAATCTAGTTGGTTTCGGCTTTGATGCCTATTATCCAGGGACTTCTCAAGAGGTCACCCATTCTAGTACTACTCTTACCCAAACTCGCTTAACTTCGGAGTTCTGATGGCATTTGGTGCATATGAGTTGGTATGATTGCATTCATTAGTTTATGACTTGTAATTTTATATAACCATTTCTTTGGCCATGACTAACCTTTATGCATAAGCAGATCACACCGGCCCAAAACGATCACACTAAATTCAAAAATATTAATTAAGACAATCCCACGAAATTCAAAAACTTGAATTAATAATCTTTCCCACTCTTTTCTTTCATCCTAGTACTACTCTCGCCCAAACTTGCTTAACTTCGGAGTTCTGATGAGATCCGGTGCATGTGAGTTGGTATGATCGCATCCATTAGTTTATACTTGTAATTTTATATAACCATTTCTTTTTCCATGATCCCTTCACCTTTATCCAATGCACGAGACTCGGTTGTAAATGACAAGCGCCATAAATAAGCTGCTAGAAATACGCAAAAAAGAATCATGAAAAATAAAAAAAGTTTGGAGGATGCAACACAAGGACTTCCTAGGAAGTCACTCATCCTAGTACTACTCTCGTCTAAACTCGTTTAACTTCGAGGTTCTCATGAGAATTGGTGCATGTAAGTTGGTATGATCTCATTCGTTAGTCTATGACTTGTAATTTATATATCCGTTTCTTCAGTCATGACCCCGTAACCTTTATGCATGTGCAAATCACACCTACTCAAAACAATTGCATGAAATTCAAAAATATTAATCAAGACAATCCCTCCAAATTCAAAAACTTGAATTAATAGTCTTTCCCACTCTTTTCTTTCATCTCCCAATCATGAGACTCGGTTGTAAAAGACTCGCGCCACAAATAAGCATCAGAAATACAAAAAAAAAAAAAAAAAAAAAAAAAAAAAGAGGTGAGAGAGGATGCAACACAAGGACTTACCAAAAGGCCACCCATTCTAGTACTACCCTTGCCCATACTCTCTTAACTTTGTAATTCTAATGGGATCCAATGCATGTGAGTTACTACGATCGCATCTGTTCCTCTATGACTTGTAATTTTATATAACCATTTCTTTGGCCAGGACCCTGTAACCTTTTTGCATGTGCAAATCACATCGGCTCAAAACGACCACAAGAAATTCAAAAATATTAATCAAGACGATCCCACGAAATTCAAAAACTTGAATGAATAGTCTTTCCCACTCTTTTCTTTCATCTCACATCACAAGACTCGATTGTAAACAACGCGCGCCACAAATAAGCTGCCAGATATACGCAAAAAAAGAATAATGAAAAATAAAAGAGGCAGGAGGATGCAACACGATGACTTCCTCGGAGGTCACCCATGAAATCTCGTTCTTGGATTTCACTATTATAATGTACATGTTTGTATTATTGATATTTTATACTATTTTTCAGGAATTTAAATTAATTTTAGATTTTAATTACTTAAGTACAAAGTGGAATTTTTGAAAAATAATTATTTATAATCCTGAGACCTTCGGAGGTCACAAGTAACGATTTCGAATAGATCTCGAAACCACGAACGCATAGGCAGAAGCCGTTTGTGAGTCCGGAGTCTAACGATATAGTTACGGGCATTTGAAGTCGTTTTACTAAACTATAGTTTTTAAATTAGTTAAACCCCCTCCATGTGGGAATTGGGCCTATCAGGTGTGAGTAAATTTCGGGCCAATCTGATTTAAGAAAAAGGGACCAATCAGTTAAAGGGGGGAGGAACCAATCAAGAAGAGAGGGGTAAAAAAAAAAAAAAAAAAAAAAAGGACCCTTCCGCACCAACTCGACCAAATTCCGGCAGATTCCGCCATTTCTTTTCGTCGATTCACCACCATCCAACACCTGCACCCTCTTTCGCAACTTCCCATCTACCATCTTCACCCAAATTCGAAGGGTTTTAGGTCTAAAATCGTGTAGAACCTCACCGGAGAACTCGATGGTTCTTGACAGCAATTCCGCAGTTCCAACGAGTTTCACCACCCACCACCACCCTTAATCAACCCCCCTTGGACCCAGGAACAAGATCCAACCAACTGTTGGAGCGTTGGAACACCGAGGAAGTCGAATCGAAGAACACCCATTAGGGTTTCTGACGGGTTTGAGTGGAACTGGAGTTCTTCCCGGCCAAATTGGACTTGGCCACAGGTATGAACATTGATCCTCTTATTGAGATCTTCATTTCTGTGAAATTTGGTAATTTTTTAAAATAATTGAATTTTTCGGCAAGTCAAGGCGGCCCACCGTCACCTACGGTGGCGCATTATAGCTCTGCAGTTTGCTAACAAGTTTATTTTTTCTTTCTTTCTTTTAGTTGAATTAAATATTACGTAATGGATTAATCTTGCTCAAAGTTTTGTGTGGCTGGGTAATTACAAATTTTAATTGTTCATGCAGGTACTACTTGTGCTACAATCTTGACCAAGACTGTTTATACCGATTGTCTTGTTTTTTTCACCTATATTTTAATTTCATTCCCCATATAAAGTTATGGTTAAAAATTGAAATGTTATTTCTTCACTCATTATTTTTTTAAAGTGGTTATGTCTGAAATTGGACACGGTTATTATTTATGAAACTAAACATGGATGCTACATTATTTCTTAAACAGACTATTTATGAGATTGAACACGGATAATACACTATTTTTTAAACTAAATAATGACTATTTTTTAAAACTAAACACAAGTACTATCACTATTTGTTAAATTGAACATTGACTATTTATGAAACTCATATAAGTACTACACTATTTATTAAACTCACTATTTATGAAGCTGACACGACTACTACATTATTTATTAAACTGACTGACTATTTATGAAATTGACACAGGTACTACACTATTTATTAATCTGAATAACTATTTATGAAACTGACACGGGTAGGTACTACAATATTTATTAAACTGACTGACTATTTATGAAACTAACACAAGTACTACACTATTTATTAAACTGACACGGGTAGGTACCGCAATATTTATTAAACTGACTGACTATTTATGAAACTGACACAAGTACTACACTATTTATTAAACTGACTGACTATTTATGACTACACAATTTATTAAAATGACTGACTATTTATGAAACTGACACAAGTACTACACTATTATTAAATTGACTGACTATTTATGATAATAAATACTGACTTTTTATAAATTGAAGTTCATGCATGCATGCGTGCCCTTCTAATTAATAGAGGATAATGCTAAAAAAATCAAATTTTAAACCAAATGATAAACACATTAATTAACATTTTTAAGTAATAATTCAATCATCAACATTCATATCATTTAAGTTACAAAATTTGGTCTCGATAGTATTAACAACTAAAGAGCAAGTATGTGTTAATAATTGATTGGCACATATATAATTACGCATGTATGGTAAGGAAAGAAGAAGATCGACTCGGGGCTCGGAGTACCAATCATTGACAACCAACAGTACTTAAGTCAAAGATAAATATTAGTTATTACTTCCAAAATTCAACTTCAACTTCAAATTCAAGTAGTACATCCAAAGAAGCTTTCATGAAAAGGGCTTGGACTAAGTTTATTTTAATTTAAAAAAAAAAAACTATGCTATAACTTTATTTAATTAAAAAGACTTAAATTTTAATGAAAAACCCTTAAATTTTAATAAAAATGACAAAGGAACTTAAATTTTAATGAAAATGATATAATTTTAACATTAAAAAAATCTGACGCGGACCCACGCGTCCTCACATTGTTTATGAAACTTACGATACTATTTATGAAACTTACTGCATTGTTTATGAAAACTTATGACAATGTTTATGAAACTTACTACACTGTTTATGAAACTTAACGGTACTATTCATAAAACTTAACGATACTATATTCTTCTCTCTCCTCTTCTTGAATATTCATGCCACATTCTCACCTTCCAAACACATTTTCTTCTTTTAATTTTCTTCAATACTCATTAAAATACAAAGATTTAAAAATCATTTTCAGTATTTTTCCTATGAAAATATATACATATATTTATCTTTTTGTTGCAAAACATTAGTGTGATGACGTATTTAAAATTCTCTCTGTCCAATGCAAAAAATCATAGAAAAAAATTGAAGCACCGAAACGAAAATCAAACAAAAATTTGTCTGCCATGTAAGAAAAAACAGAGGCAATTACGAGTAGTTGATTAGAAGTGTAGTCCGATGGTTTGGATCTCAATTTTTACTTTTTAACTTTTAACACGCTGCTTTCTCCAAGTCTGATGGAGCTTTTTGGGTTTTTTTTTTTTTTTTTTTTGTTGAGGGGGGGGCGGGTTTTTATTTTTTTTTTATAAGTGATTTTTTATTTTTTTCTTATCATTAAATAAAGTTAGTGTATGTTTTTTTTTTAATTAAAATGCAAAGAATTGAAGCTTTTTTCAGTAGTTTTCCTTTAAAAAAAAGGGATAACTTGATATAGATCCAATTTTGTGAGCCATTAGTAGAATTAGTCCACTTCATTGAAATAGGTCCAATAATTGAGATTCCATGTATGTTTATTTGGAAATAGGTCCAATAATTGAGATTCCATGTATGTTTATTTGTGATTTGTACCATATTTACCCCTTAGGCTTACGAATTGTAGTAAATACACAAAATTTCTTAATAATGAGGTAATTTGTGGTTTAACTAATCCCTTAATTGTAGGATTAGTTATAGCCATATAATCCTCAATCCCCAGTCCGTTTCATCCCTCCTTTTTTCCTTCTTCCAAACAATTCCCTTTATCAATCCTCCTCTTTTTTGTCTCTTCTTTTCATGGATGATATTTTTGTGTTCTTCCCTCCAAATTCGTTCCTTTAATAGAGGTATATTATATCATATTTATATTTTTATGTTCCGCCATGTAGGTTCCTAGCATTTTTCTTCCAATACAATAGGTAGTTTATTTTTGTTTTGCAGGTAGATCATATCTACTTTGTAGGTATAAAGCATTTTCTTCCTATACAATAGGTAGCTGGTTACTAGATTATATCGGTTTTGTTTTCTTCATAAATGGTAGGTAGTTACTATATAATATTTTAGTTTGAGTATTTCAATATTCAAAATTTAAAAACTAAATAAATGATAAAAAAAAATTAAAGAATTTCAATATTTTTATCTGAAGGGGCAAAATTGATATCAAAATATGTAATTGGATAACTGGACTTGGTCCCAAAAACTACCTAAGTTTTTGGACCTAGATCCAAAAGCCCCTAAAAAAAATTAGTTTTTTCACTTTTCTTATTTTGTTTATATTATATTGTTATTCAAAAGAAGATTGAGAGAGAGGGATGTGGAACAAGAGAAGAATCTCTTCCACCAAGACCACCAAATAAAGTGATCCGAACTTTTGAAATTTCAATCTCACAGACACGCATCAGCCATGCATGGCACCTGCCAGTGTAGAGTTTAATAATTTATTGACTTTTCGATGAAAAGCCCAAATCTCATCTCTCCTTGTTGTACTTAATTGACGTTTACATTAATTGGGTTCTTGTTACTTGCATTTTTTTATTTTATTTTATTTTATTTTTTTGAAGTGCCAAATAGAGGAACAGTCATTGGTTGGAAGAAAGCCAATACCACAATATCAATGCCTGGACCTTTAAACTCACAGTGTGACAGATAATCACATTTTAAGAATAGCATTGACAAGGTTACTAATCCTCTTGTTTAGGGAAGTCTACGAGGATCACATAAAGCTTGGGGAGACTGGACCCTTTGAAAGCCCAAGGTGAACTTCCATTGCATGATGTGTCCACAGGCCAGAAGGTTTCAGATTCCTAGAGGCTTAGGTAATCCTCAAAGCCAAAATCATTCAGTCTTCCAATCATAGCTTCCAAACCCAGCATTGAAGAAGGAATTGGTCCGGCAGACCTCTGGAATCGAGAAGGGAATCCATCTTCAGTGGAAACGCACTCCCTGTAAAATAATGTGATAAATAAAAACTATACGTAAGAACAAGTAGGAAATATTATCCATTCTTCAAATTGGTGATATGATAATATACTCTAGACCGTTTCACTATTGACCTTCTAAATTTGAGATCCGAACTCGATTAGATCATGTAAATTTTAGATCAAATCGGTTTATTTTAAATTAATTCTATGATGGAAGATTCCCTTTTTTGTTTTTAATTTTCTTTCTGAACATGGTACCAAAATATCTTTCTCTGTAATTTAGTACCATTATTGTATTCATGAACAGTACATGTACTACCTTCACGCTAATCGGATGGAGATTTGAAACTTTGAATGAACAGAACATGACAAAAAAGAAATATAAAATACAAGTCAAATGGTAAACTCACGGTAATTATGTGGGAGTGGTGAAACTCACAGTAAATACAAGCCTATAAATTTCAGACTACAGGCTATCATGGAACTCATGAACAGAGACAAATTCTTATTTTGAACTTCCAAATTTTACAAAAACAAGATGAGTGGTGATCCCCCTCAATATGGCCAATCTCCGCGTCCTAGTGGTAGTCATGAACTACCGTATGAGAGTAATATTATATACAATCAGGTGAAAAATATCAACATGTGTCCTTATGGGATTCCCATTATGGTGATTCTTCATCACATGTTGGTGGTTATCTGCCGTCAAATGCACCACCTAGGCATCCCTATTCTTACTATGTGGTAGCCAAGACAGCGCTTCATCATCGTATGGTGGTAGGTCTTGTATCACATTTGCTTTATGGGGTTCCCATTCTGGTGACTCTTCATCACATAGTAGTGGCCATGTTGGTGGCTATCCGCAAAACTCACCTATACCGTCAAGTGCACCATATGGTGATAGTCTTGCACAACATCTGTTCTTGACGGTACAAGTGAGTTTTGAGGAGAGCCACCAATATGGCCACCACTATGTGATGAAGAGTCACCAAAATGAGGAACCCCATAAAGCAGATGTGATACAAGACCACCACCATACGATGATGAAGCGCCGTCTTGGATACACCATAGTAAGAATAGGGATGCCTAGGTGATGCACTTGATGGTGATTATGTGAAGAAGAATCACCATAACGGAGAACCCCATAAGGCACATGTTGATATTGTTCACCTGACTGTATATAATAATTACTCTCATACGGTAGTCCATGATTACCACTAGGACGCGGAGATTGGCCATATTGAGGGGATCACCACTCATCTTGTTTTTGTAAAATTTGGAAGTTCAAAATAAGAATTTGTCTCTTAATGGCCCTGCTTAATGGCCAGTGGATTAGGAAGGCGGGGTTGTTGCAATGGGTTCCATTTGGTACTCTATTTGCCAATGTTTCTGCAGCTTGTGTCATGGCTGCCCTGTCTTCTGTGAAGAAAGCGGTAAGTTCTTGTGATATGATCTTCGTCCACATCCACTCCATGACTTCATCCTCACCGTTACTTTTTGTGTTTTATGGTCTTCGGAAAGCTTACAGTTCACATATATTTGTCACATTATAAACTGCCAAGTTTGTTACTTTGGGCTCTTTTTCTCTCGTCAAGGTTTTAGAAGCTTCTTGGGGGAATTTTTGAAGTGTACTCGTTTCTTTTACAATATTCTGCGTGTTACCTTTGTCCTGCGTTTTCTTGGTCCATGCTCATGGTTTTTTTAATAGAAAATCTAACGAAATATATCCTTCAGAACTTTTTCTGTTTTCTCAGGTGAACACTAAGACTTGTGACATTGTTGCAACAGGCATACAATTTGGATTTCTGGGTTGCACGAGTACTGTTTCTACCTTCATTGCTGAGTTCAATGAGATGAGAGAGAGCAAATATCCTCGGAGAGCATACGCATACGCCATGGCTACGATATGCACCTCGTTTGGTTTGGGGTTCATGATATATTGTGTACCTGTTTGAACAAAGGGATACAAGTAGTTGCATGCTCAGGCCATTGTTTTGAAGTCTAATCTGTGGCTATACCTTGAGATTTTATTCACCCTCACTGGCTTCAATCTGACCGAAGGACAGGGCACCCTTCTGCCTCTTGAGTGTGTCACAGAATCTTGCGGGACATACTTACACGAAATATTTTTCTTGTATCCGTCTCTGCCCTCAGGCGTTGTGACAGATGCATGGGGGTATGCACCTGGTTTCATGTTAGTTTCTGTCATCTCGCAGAAGTATCTCCAGATCGGGCTGCAACCAATGCTAGCTTGGACACCGCCAAGTTCTTATTGTACAACAGGTGCGTTGGCATAACATTCGGAAACAAGAATAATTCATAAATCTATTCTACTGTATTTTACATTTCAATCAATAGCTTCATAATTTATTGTATATCTTTCAAGAGAATAGAGATAATGCACTAACACCATATCATTATATTCAAACTGTGATTTGTAAATAAAGAAAAATTACAACGATATACTTACACTAAAGAGGATGAATGTATGGCTAAGCCCCACATTAAGTCAATCATAACAAGTTAGTTCAGACTATTCATTCACAATATCAAAATAGAAAACTTCTTTGACAAGTGGAAAGGAATACAACTAAAAATACCACCGTAATAAACTCGTTTAGACTATTCATTCATGAGATTCAAACCCTCAATAATAAATGTAAAGAAATACGAGTAAATTGTAATATTAAGTAGTTTGCTTGTCAATTCCAATTAGAAACTTATAATTACATCATTCCTTAAAAGTAGTTTGCTTGTTGAAATATTTAGTCTTTCCCCGAACCAACCACCACGTGATTTTCCACAGCTAACATCAACTTATGTGCAAAATAATATGAAAATATCCTCTAATGTAGAGGGAATTGCACGTATAGAGATTCAAAAAAGAATCGATTTGATTCAGGTCATAATCTATATGGGATTCCCCAAGTTATTAATAGAAGACAGGACTCGAAGAATTGAAGAATTACAGACGCATGTACAAAAAGAACTCAATTGTGTAAACCAAAAATCCTTTTCCTCCACTTGCTTCTGCTGGAAAAAAGTTTGCAAATTATATCAGCAAAACATAAGAAGGTATTTCTATTCTTTTGTTGATCAGGCGACACCCGGATTTGAACTGGGGAAAAAGGATTTGCAGTCCCCCGCCTTACCGCTCGGCCATGCCGCCAAAATGATACAAAATATATGAATTTATTGTATATTACAATCTTATAATATTATTATTTATTATATATAATTCGAAATAATTTCATATTTAATTAATAAATAATTTTATTTTGAATTCTCTTCTAATTCTAAATTAACGGAATGGTTAGTTATAGCCATTTTATTAGTTTTAGTTATGGCTATTAATTGAATTTAAAATTAATAATACTCAAATCTTCCTTTTCGTTTTTTTGTTATGTTATAATGTTTTTTTTGTTATGTTATAGAAGGCCTGCCCTAAGAATAACATGAAAGATAAAAGCGCAATTCAGATCATAATGAAACACTCCTCTGGTTTCATTCGGAAAGGTGAAAGCTAAGACGAAAAAAAAAAAAAAAAAAAAGAATCGACCGTTCAAGTATTTAAAATTTAACGCTAAAAACGGTAGAAATAGGGGCATATATAAGTATAATAAATATATATTATACTATAATATATATGTTATGCGATCTATATTGAATTGATGATATAGAAATGATTGAATTGATGATATAGAAATGATAGAATCATTTCTGATTGGACCAAATAAGGGTCTCCGATAGAGATGAAAGAAAATATACAAGAAATCAAATAGTAGAAAAAACTTTTCAATATAGGTTTCGGAGGCTACATTATTGTACTAACTACTAGGACGTCCTTGAACTCGATCTCTACCTTGATCTTCTTTCGAACATGGCCTCTCTCTCTCTCTCTCACACACACACACACACACTCATACACTCACTCACTCACACACGTGCACATATGTACAAGTGCCCTTTATTGGCACTGTTTTATTAATAAACACGTTAACGTAAAGTTGTTAAACATGAGCGTTAGGTGGGACTTGTATTACTCATGGTATCATGATTACTGAAAGTTTTTTCTCTTCATCTTTTTATTTCTGAAGTCATATTTCTTGGGTAGTTACATGGAAAATGTTGGATGATGTGCCAATGCAGTCTTTGTTCCTAATGCATTTTTGTAGGTTAGTTCTTTCTTGATGGGGTGGTTGGGAACCGGTTACTTAGGAAGCCTTACATCTTTCAACGGTTCGAACCAGAAATGCTTGAACCAGAAAATGCTTGAACTCAGTGTTGAAGGCCTTTGGGTGTTTGATCTGCTCTGTTTTTTAATAGGTAAGATGTCATACTCTAAAGAATTGCTGCAGTATACATGTGGCTGGCCATGGCAAGCATAACGTTTGAATTTCATTTGAATCTAGTTGGTTTCGGCTTTGATGCCTATTATCCAGGGACTTCCCAAGAGGTCACCCATTCTAGTACTACTCTTACCCAAACTCGCTTAACTTCGGAGTTCTGATGGCATTTGGTGTATATGAGTTGGTATGATTGCATTCATTAGTTTATGACTTGTAATTTTATATAACCATTTCTTTGGCCATGACTAACCTTTATGCATAAGCACATCACACCGGCCCAAAACGATCACACTAAATTCAAAAATATTAATTAAGACAATCCCACGAAATTCAAAAACTTGAATTAATAATCTTTCCCACTCTTTTCTTTCATCCTAGTACTACTCTCGCCCAAACTCGCTTAACTTCGGAGTTCTGATGAGATTCGGTGCATGTGAGTTGGTATGATCGCATCCATTAGTTTATACTTGTAATTTTATATAACCATTTCTTTTGCCATGATCCCTTCACCTTTATCCAATGCACAAGACTCGGTTGTAAATGACAAGCGCCATAAACAAGCCGCTAGAAATACGCAAAAAAGAATCATGAAAAATAAAAAAAGTTTGGGGGATGCAACACGAAGACTTCCCAGGAAGTCACTCATCCAAGTACTACTCTCGCCTAAACTCGTTTAACTTCAAGGTTCAGATGAGAATTGGTGCATGTAAGTTGGTATGATCTCATTCGTTAGTCTATGACTTGTAATTTATATATCCATTTCTTCAGTCATGACCCCGTAACCTTTATGCATGTGCAAATCACACCTACTCAAAACAATTGCACGAAATTCAAAAATATTAATCAAGACAATCCCTCCAAATTCAAAAACTTGAATTAATAGTCTTTCCCACACTTTTCTTTCATCTCCCAATCATGAGACTCGGTTGTAAAAGACTCGCGCCACAAATAAGCATCAGAAATACGCAAAAAAAAAAAAAAAAAAAAAAAAAAAAAAAAAAAAAGAAAGAAAAGAGGTGAGAGGATGCAATACAAGGACTTACCAAAAGGCCACTCATCCTAGTACTACCCTTGCCCATACTCTCTTAACTTTGTAGTTCTAATGGGATCCAATGCATGTGAGTTACTACGATCGCATCCGTTCCTCTATGACTTGTAATTTTATATAACCATTTCTTTGGCCATGACCCTGTAACCTTTTTGCATGTGCAAATCACATCGGCTCAAAACGACCACAAGAAATTCAAAAATATTAATCAAGACGATCCCACGAAATTCAAAAACTTGAATGAATAGTCTTTCCCACTCTTTTCTTTCATCTCACAATCACAAGACTCGATTGTAAACAACGCGTGCCACAAATAAGCTGCCAGATATACACAAAAAAAAGAATAATGAAAAATAAAAGAGGCAGGAGGATGCAACACGATGACTTCCCCGGAGGTCACCCATGAAATCTCGTTCTTGGATTTCACTATTATAATGTACATGTTTGTATTATTGAGATTTTATACTATTTTTCAGGAATTTAAATTAATTTTAGATTTTAATTACTTAAGTACAAAGTTGAATTTTTGAAAAATAATTATTTATAATCCTGAGACCTTCGGAGGTCACAAGTAACGATTTCGAATAGATCTCGAAACCACGAACGCATAGGCGGAAGCCGTTTGTGAGTCCGGAGTCTAACGATATAGTTACGGGCATTTGAAGTCGTTTTACTAAACTATAATTTTTAAATTAGTTAAACCCCCACCATGTGGGAATTGGGCCTATCAGGTGTGAGTAAATATTGGGTCAATCTGATTTAATAAAAAGGGACCAATCAGTTAAAGTGGGGAGGAACCAATCAAGAAGAGAGGGGTGAAAAAAAAAAAAAAAAAACAAAGGACCCTTCCGCACCAACCCGACCAAATTCCGGCAGATTCCACCATTTCTTTTCGTCGATTCACCACCATCCAACACCTGCACCCTCTTTCGCAACTTCCCATCTACCATCTTCACCCAAATTCGAAGGGTTTTAGGTCTAAAATCGTGTAGAACCTCACCGGAGAACTCGATGGTTCTTGACGGCGATTCCGCCGTTCGACAAGTTTCACCACCCACCACCACCCTTAATCAACCCCCCTTGGACCCAGGAACAAAATCCAACCAGTTGTAGGAGCGTTGGAACACCGAGGAAGTCGAATCGAAGAACACCCATTAGGGTTTCTGACGGGTTTAAGTGGAACTGGAGTTCTTCCCAGCCAAATTGGACTTAGCCATAGGTATGAACATTGCTCCTCTTATTGAGATCTTCATTTTTGTGAAATTTAGTAATTTTTTAAAATAATTGAATTTTTCGGCAAGTCAAAACGGTCCACCGTCACCTATGGTGGCGCATTATAGCTCTGCAGTTTTCTAACAAGTTTATTTTTTCTTTCTTTCTTTTAGTTGAATTAAATATTACGTAATGGATTAATCTTGCTCAAAGTTTTGTCTGGCTGGGTAATTACAAATTTTAATTGTTCATCAGGTACTACTTGTGCTACAATCTTGACCAAGACTGTTTATACCGATTGTCTTGTTTTTTTCACCTATATTTTAATTTCATTCACCATATAAAGTTATGGTTAAAAAATTGAAATGTTATTTCTCCACTCATTATTTTTTTAAAGTGGTTATGTTTGAAACTGGACACGGTTACTATTTATGAAACTAAACATGGATGCTACATTATTTCTTAAACTATTTATGAGATTGAACGCAGATACTACACCATTTTTTAAACTAAATAATGACTATTTTTTAAAACTAAACACAAGTACTATCATTATTTGTTAAATTGAACACTGACTATTTATGAAACTCACATAAGTACTACACTATTTATTAAACTCACTATTTATGAAACTGACACGACTACTACATTATTTATTAAACTGACTGACTATTTATGAAACTGACACAGGTACTATACTATTTATTAATCTGACTAACTATTTATGAAACTGACACATGTACTACACTATTTATGAAACTGACACAGGTAGGTACTACAATATTTATTAAACTGACTGACTATTTATGAAACTGACACAAGTACTACACTATTTATTAAACTGACACTGGTAGGTACTACAATATTTATTAAATTGACTGACTATTTATGAAACTGACACAAGTACTACACTATTTATTAAACTGACTGACTATTTATGACTACACAATTTATTAAACTGACTGACTATTTATGAAACTGACACAAGTACTACACTATTTATTAAACTGACTAACTATTTATGACTACACAATTTATTAAACTGACTGACTATTTATGAAACTGACACAAGTACTACACTATTATTAAATTGACTGACTATTTATGATAATAAATACTGACTTTTTATAAATTGAAGTTCATGCATGCATGCGTGCCCTTCTAATTAATAGGGGATAATGCTAAAAAAATCAAATTTTAAACCAAATGATAAACACATTAATTAACATTTAAGTAATAATTCAATCATCAACATTCATATCATTTAAGTTACAAAATTTGGTAAAAATTTGGTCTCGATAGTATTAACAACTAAAGAGCGAGTATGTGTTAATAATTGATTGGCACATATATAATTACGCATGTATGGTAAGGAAAGAAGAAGATCGACTCGGGGCTCGGAGTACCATCATTGACAACCAACTGTACTTAAGTCAAAGATAAATATTAGTTATTACTTCCAAAATTCAACTTCAACTTCAAATTCAAGTAGTACATCCAAAGAAGCTTTCATGAAAAGGGTTTGGACTAAATTTATTTTAATAAAAAAAAATCATGCTATAACTTTATTTAATTAAAAAGACTTAAATTTTAATGGAAAACCCTTAAATTTTAATAAAAATGACAAAGGAACTTAAATTTTAATGAAAATGATATAATTTTAACATTAAAAAAATCTGACACGCGGACCCACAAGTCCTCACATTGTTTAAGAAACTTACGATACTGTTTATGAAACTTACTGCATTGTTTATGAAAACTTATGATAATGTTTATGAAACTTACTACACTGTTTATGAAACTTAACAGTACCATTCATAAAACTTAACGGTACTACATTCTTCTCTCTTCTCTTCTTGAATATTCTTGGCACATTCTCACCTTCCAAACACATTTTCTTCTTCTAATTTTCTTCAATACTCATTAAAATACAAAGATTTAAAAATCATTTTCAGTAGTTTTCCTATGAAAATATATACATATATTTATCTTTTTGTTGCAAAACATTAGTGTGATGACGTATTTAAAATTCTCTCTGTCCAATGCAAAAAATCATAGCAAAACATTGAAGCACCGAAACGAAAATCAAACAAAAATTTGTCTGCCATGTAAGAAAAAACAGAGGCAATTACGAGTAGTAGTCTGATGGTTTGGATCTCAATTTTACTTTTTAACTTTTAACACGCTGCTTTCTCCAAGTCTGATGGAGTTTTTTGGGTTTTTTTTTGTTGTTTTTGGGGTGGGGGGGCATTTTTTATTTTTTATTTTTTTAGTTAGTGTATGTTTTTTTTTTTTTTTTTTTTTTTTTGTTAAAATGCAAAGAATTGAAGTTTTTTCATTAGTTTTCCTTTAAAAGAATTTAGTTTTTTACTTTTCTTATTCTGTTTATATTATATTGTTATTCAAAAGAAGATTGAGGAAGAGGGATGTGGAACAAGAGAAGAATCTCTTCCACCAAGACCACCAAATAAAGTAATCCGAATTTTTGAAATTTCAATCTCACAGACACGCATCAGCCATGCATGACACCTGCCAGTGTAGAGTTTAATAATTTATTGACTTTTCGATGAAAAGCCCAAATCCCATCTCTCCTTGTTGTACTTAATTGACGTTTACATTAATTGGGTTCTTGTTACTTGCATTTTTTTAATTTTATTTTATTTTATTTTTTTGAAGTGCCAAATAGAGGAACAGTCATTGGTTGGAAGAAAGCCAATACCACAATATCAATGTCTGGACCTTTCAACTCACAGTGTGACAGATAATCACATTTTAAGAATAACATTGACAAGGTTACTAATCCTCTTCTTTAGGAAAGTCTACGAGGATCACATAAAGCTTGGGGAGACTGGACCCTTTGAAAGCCCAAGGTGAACTTCCATTGCATGATGTGTCCACAGACCAAAAGGTTTCAGATTCCTAGGGGCTCAGGTAATCCTCAAAGCCAAAATCATTCAGTCTTCCAATCATAGCTTCCAAACCCAGCATTGACGAAGGAATTGGTCCGGTAGACCTCTGGAATCGAGAAGGGAATCCATCTTCAGTGGAAATGCACTCCCTGTAAAATAATGTGATAAATAAAAACAATACGTAAGAACAAGTAAGAAATATGATCCATTATTCAAATTGGTGATATGATAATATACTCTAGACCGTTTCACTATTGACCTTCTAAATTTGAGATCCGAACTCGATTAGATCATGTAAATTTTAGATCAAATCGGTTTATTTTAAATTAATTCTTTGATGGAAGATTCCCTTTTTTTTTTTTAATTTTCTTTCTGAACATGGTACCAAAATATCTTTCTCTGTAATTTAGTACCATTATTGTATTCATGAACAGTACATGTACTACCTTCACGCTAATCGGATGGACATTTGAAACTTTGAATGAACAGAACATGACAAAAAAGAAATATAAAATACAAGTCAAATGGTAAACTCACAGTAATTATGTGTGAGTGGTGAAACTCACAGTAAATACAAGCCTATAAATTTATATTCTATATATACTAAAGCTCAGCGGATTGGCACCAATCCGATTTTGCCCCTGATCTAACGCACGGTTTTCAGCCCTTTAAAAGATGCTACATGAATTGGCGATTTTGCCCCTTAGTAGAGTGAGTCTACATATGGGAAGGTGCTCGAACCCTCTCTCATTTTCTTCCGTTGCTTTTCCCTTTCGCCTGCTCTCTAGTTTCTCTCTGCTTTTCTCCCTGTTCAATCTTCGTGTTTCCTTGCTTACCTCTCTTCCATTTTCTTCCGTCGCTTTTCCCTTTCTCTTCCTCTCTGTTTCCGTGCTTTTCTCCCTGCGTCAATCCTTCGTGTTTCCCTGCTTCTCTCTCTGCGTCGATCGTGTGTCGTATGAAGAGTTTCTTTTCCGGGTGATTGCACTGTTTCAGGTGGTTTCTCTGCTTATATTTTTTTTGTCCTTTCTTTGATTGGGAAGAAATTTGCAGATTGATCGCTGTAAAATTCAAGTCTTTGCGTTTTGCACTGATTGTTTCCTTTCTTTCTTTCTTTCTTTTTTTTTTTTTTTTTTTTGATGTTTTCAGTGTGGTTGTTTGATCTGATTGGGTTTTTTTGTTTCAGGAAAATTGGTGTGCGAATTTTAGGGTTTTTGTGTACAACCTTGCAAACCCCTTCTGATTAAGGTCTGTGAGTTTTTTCTTTAAAACTTTTCTTCTTTTTTTTCGATGATTTGTGTGTGGCTGTTCCATCTAATTCGAATTTTCGTTTTAGGAAATCTTGGTCTTCGAGATTTAGGGTTTTCGTCTAGATCGATTGCTCGATCGATGTAAAATTAAAGTCCTCTCTTTTTTTTTTTTCTCTCTGTAAAACTCTATTTTACTAGGTTGTTTCTGTTGCATTGGTGGTGTTTGCTTGGTTTTGTTCTCTGGTCTCAAAAATTGAATAGTTTTTTTTTTTTAGTGGTTTCGTGCTATCTTGAACTCCAAGTGGAAAGCCCAGGGAGCAGAAAATGGACAATCACAATTATTATTGGTTTTTATATTTATTTTAAACTCATTTTAATTAATTAATTTTTTCACCAATTAATTTGAAATATGTGGTGAAATGATCATATATAATTAAGTTTATTAGTTTGCTAATTTTTTTTTTTTTTTTTTTTGGTTGTGTTTTAGTAGGTGGATCGGATTTGAAGTATTTTTTAGGGTGGGTAAAAAGGTTGAGCGGAGTTGGGAAAATTCCTAAGGTAAAGTTCTTATGCCCTTCTCTGTCTTTTAAAACAAAGCCTTTAGGCACACAACTTCGTTTTTCCAAGTTTTTATTTTTTTTTGTGCTGCTGGTAAGAGTCGATTAGTTTTGTTTTTAGGCACACAAGTGATAATATGGATTAGAATTTGACGAAATTACACTGATTCAGATGATATTGATCAAAAGAATGAGTTAGAAACTGAAAATTACAATAGTTACAGAGGTTTTTCGAATCAATTTTTTTGTTTTTTTTTTTACAGTTAAAGCTATTGATTAGTTGATGTGGAAAGAGGTTTTGGTTGATTACTTATGTGCATAATACCTATTAGTCTTTTTTCCTATGTAGCTACAAACTTATCAATTTGATGTCACTATTCATTAACAGTGAATGCATTGCAAGAAATAAATGACAACTATTTGTTTAATCCTTGGTATAATATATTCCACCATAACATGTTAACAATTGTTTTAAACCAACATGATCTTACCCCATTTCCAAACCAAATTAAAAAGTACGGATCAACTCACATGTTAAAAAAATTATAAATTTAAAGAACTAAATTTAACAACCATTGCGTGTTTAGTTTAACACAGATTTTCTCCGTTTGATTGCCAAAAAAATGCTCAGAAATAAAACAACTTAATTTCCGTGCTATTATTGTAATGGATGTTTATTTTAACTAGCTTTTAAGTTTTTAACTTATGAATTTAAGATCTTAAATTTTAATATTTAAACATTATTGTTTTTTTTGGTGTAGTGGTTAAAGAAGAGTAGAAGAAACGTTCTGTTTATTCCTCCAGAAAAGATTAAGAAAGGTGAGTTGATCATAGGATTTAAATTTTAACAATTCAACTTTAAATGCTAGCATATGATGGTACATTGAAGATGGTATTTCAACTTTGAGTTTTAACTCTTTACTGTTATTTTTTTTATTTGGTCTTTGGCATGCCATCATAGATAATAACATAACTTAGCATTTACCAAAAGATTTAAACATGTAAACTGACTTAGCATTTACATTTTTCGTTTACAGTTGGTGGTCACAAATCAACTGACTCAACTTTATATCAACATTGGAGCATGCCTTACAAGTGTAAATCAACTTTTTTATTCTATTTTATAGAATGAATTAAGTTCTGAAGTTTATATATTCTGAAACCGTGTTCGTCACTGGAAGTTATGCAGCTATGCAGAGGGATACGTAGTGGAACTTGGATTTCAAAGATCACAGTGAACCGGGTGATAGGTGTATTTCCTCCTTTTTTACCATTTTAAAACTTATATTATTGATAAATTAATTCGAATCATGTGGCATGAACTTAAAGCTCTGTTTGGGAAAGTGGGCTCTTTACCCCAAAGATGCTTGCTTTTGGTAATATTTGGAATTGTGCTTCTAAGCTGTTTTTCAAGCTTTTGGCCATACTAAATGGAGCTAAGTCGAACAGCTCTTCAGTTGCATTGTAGTTGCTTTCCTAAATTGTATGTTCATTTGTTGAAAAAATTTAAGGGCGAAAATTATGTTTCAAATTGGATTTAGATATGAGTATTACACATTCAACGTGTTGAATTCATCTTTGTTTTGGTGTTTGTGGTTTTGAATGTCATTTAGTGCAGTATAGCTTTAACTTAAATGTGGTTCTATATATCTCAAGTACTCATTTGGATTTTGAGCAGTAGGAGAGAGTTTAGCACGTATTTGAGGAAATGCGAAGAACTTTTTTTGAAATGGTTAGAGTTTGAGATTCTCAGAAGGAAGCTCCTATGAGTTTTTGGTTTTTTGTGTTGATTTGAACAAATTCGGTTTTTATATTTATTAATTTTTGTTGTGTGAGTAGTATTTATTGGGCTTGATGTTTTTTTGAAACACCAGGTGGTTTGGAGACGTTTGAAATCATAAGAAGACTCGAAGATTTCAGCCAGGTTTGAATCAAATCACCAAATGGATTCTTCTTCCAGGTTATGATTAAATGTTCCCAACTTTTTTAGTTGTATAAAGACTTGGGTAGATAGGAATTTGATTTTAGTCATGTGTTTCACTAATTCTTTGGAAATAGATAAATCTTTATGAACAGTCTCCTGCTTCTATCAATACCCATGGTAAGTTCTTATAATTTACTTTTAACGGTAAGGTCATTTGTGACCAAATATTCTTTTTCAACTTATGCTTCATTTATTCTTCTTTTGCAGCCTATTTTTTCACACATTTAGTCTTCAGTAGATGGGCTAAGCAATTTCCACGTGGCATTGTATCAAATTATCATTGATCGTAGGGTATGGCATTGTCAGCTCATCTTCTATTCACTTTGATCAAATTATTTGTCAGCTATTTTAGTTTTTAGTTATGATATTGTTTCTTATTTGGCCTCAAGATTAGTGGACTTAAACTTTGTTTATTATCTTTGCAGTACGAAGAAGACCTTAATAATGTAATAAGAGATTACAATATTAACTTGACAGTAAATGATCCATTCTTTTTTTGGATGCAATGTCCATACTTTAGTGTAATTTGTACCTTATGTTTTACCTTTGTTTTTAAATTAAAATTCCTTAATTTGGTTTTGGTTTGTTCCATAATACATGTGTAAAGATGACCATGTTGTACATTACATATTTTGGGAATTAGACTAAGTAATTTGATCAATCAGAGTAAATATATTTTAGCTTTTCTTACGTCTTAACTGTCAATATATAAACTTAAGGGTCGTTTACATAAAATTCACAAATTATAACATCAATTGCAAGTAAGCATATGATCCTGCAATGCATAGAAGAACTAAGAATTAGTGGACAATTTTATGCATTGGTGCTTAAATTTCCAAGAAGACGAGCTCCATTTTCTTTTAAATGTTAATTTTGTAATGTGGGTTTGTGTTTGCTTAGTTTTCGTGGTGAGATGGAATAAATTGGTGAAATGTAGAGTGATTTAGTTGCAGAAAGGTTTGACCTTTGAATTGGAGCTATAGTGTTCGTTCCTATTGCTACATTGGCAGGTAAACACTCAACTTTTTGTTATATGTTAATGTTGGTTTCGTACTGCAAATAAGATAGGCACATTGGTGTGTAAAATTGAAAACGCAGTAACATATGGTATAGGAAATTCAAACGAATTTGTAAAGATTTTCTTTTATTGTTTTATGTTGTTTTCCACTATAAAATAAAACTCCTTTATATCCATGGTTCATCACTTGGAATAATTCTCAGTTTTTACATATATTGCTTAATTCTCTAACAAACTCCACAACAGCTTTTGGCTCAGAAATGTTCACAGTTGTCTTCATCTGAAACGAGTCAATCAACTGTATACCATCACCGTCAAACATTGAGAACTTCAGCATGTACTACAAATCTCGATCAAAGCTAGATTAACCTCTCATATGGTATGTAAATTCAATTTACAAAGAAAGCAATCAATGCTTTTTCTTCTTCTTCTTTTTTTTTAATTTATTTATTTTTTTAACAATAATATTAGAACAATAATAACAGGTTTTATCCTGTGAATGTCATTAAAATTTTATCTCCGATATAAACAGGTTTTTGCCAATTGTCATTTTTGAAGGCTATGACAGTTTATGCCATCATCCAGTGTTACTATTTGGGGAAGATTGCTGATCAAAATAATAGGTACCTTGCAGTTTTCTTTGTAGTATATTATTAAATTTATTTAAAAACTGCAAAAATTACCCAATTTCTTTACCAATTATAAAAATTGTTCTTCTTCTTTAACATTCTTATTTATTTGTACTAACAGCTTCTATTTTCTCAAATCATAACACAGAAGCATGTACATCATCACAAATAAAACAAAAAAATTGGGAAGCGACAGTCAATATAACTTTTAGGTACAAATTATTATGTGTATAAATACAATTGTAAATATTACACCTAATATGAATGCACATATATTTTATACATTTTTTAAACACGCGGCAACGCGCGGGCACTACACTAGTATATACTAAAACCCAAACTTCTGGTTACTGTTCTAGAGCAGTGTGCGGACCAAAATGCCCCTCAATTCGTTTGTTAAATCAATTTTTTGCCATCTTTGCTACAGTGAAATGGCATCGCTACCCTCCTTTGCCACGCGTTTGTCGTCGATGATTTCAGAAGAGGGTATCCCTTCTTCGTGGACTACAGCTTTTCTCCTTTCTGGACTCTTCTTTCCAATTCTATCTCTGTCTCACAAACCTTCTCTCAATCCTGGCCTTGCTCTCCCATCTCGAGTTCTCTCTGTGTCTCGGCTTTTTCCAAAAAATGGTTAAGTCAGTAAAATTTGTTTAGATCCTTTTGTCGGAGGCTGCAGACGACAACGCTCGCTTGCTAAAAAATAGTCAGTTTGGTCTCGATTTGCAGAAAATTTGGAGTGGATCACATTTCCTGCTGCCGATTTGGTATGGGCTTTGAATGTTATGTGCTTGGGAGTGTAAATTTGGATTTATAAACGGGTTTTTCATTTAAATTTTTTGGTTGTGATTTTGGGAATTTTGGCCTCAGATTTAATTTGGTTTTCTTTTTGGTTTCAGGAGATCCGGTTTTTCGGGTTTCTGACATTAAGGTGAGGAGTTTTGAAATTCTACAACGTTTTTTATTCGACTTCCAGCCTGAGATGTAATTTTAAAGCTGAAATTTCCGACTTTTTTTTTTATTAATCTTAAATCAGATTAGTTAATTATAGTTAAATAAATTTTTTTTTTCTTTCTGTTATGCAGCTGAAGTAACTAGAGTTGAGAAATAACAATTGGAGCTTAGAGTCTTTGCATATGAAAGTTGAATATGAGCCTTTGAAAGGCTTTGTAAACGTGTTCTCAATTGTAGGGCATTGGATAGCAATTTTGGGTGAGTCTTGATTCCCCAGTGCACATAATTTTGTTTCAGTTTATTTGTCTACTTTTGCATTTATTTGGAATTTTTTGGAAACCCCAATGATTCAGAATTGAAATTTATGTGTAAATTGATAAGTGTGGGTATGTCTAACAGAGTAAGAGCAGTAATCCAGTTTTGAGATCAGTTCGATTTAGGGGTTTTGATTCAGTAAGGGGTATGGATAGTGTGTGGACAGAGATTAAGCTCTGTGGTGGGCAGAAACTATAGTGTGTCTCCTACGGAGTTGTCTTTTTTGGAATCTCATTGTTTAAATCAGTTGACAAAGTAATTATTGTCCTCACATGTCTTCGTAAACTACTCATGAAATTAACATTGGGACAATTATGGGATCCTCTACTTTACACCTCTACTTGCACATTTATTTATTCGTATTTAGAGTGTTGATGATTTAGTCAAAGAGTTAGTCAGTGCATGGTCTTAATAGGCTTAAATTCTTTTTTTTTTTTTACAATAATTTTTGTAATTCTTTTCCGTTTAGTTCATTTGAATTCGTTTTTAAAGTCCATTTGATCAATAAGTGTAAAAACTGAACGGCTTTTCTGAATGTATTTTATTGGACTTTGGTGGACAAATGTATCTTTGTTGATCAATCTTATCTTTTTGTGGTCCTTCTCTTGATGTTATAAATATTCAAGGCTGCAATTTTTTTGTATCTTTGTGATATTAATTTTTTTTTGGTCATGATTGCAGGTTTTTATAAAAATTCACCTTCAAAGCTTGAGTAAAAATATATAAAGGTTGTTGGTGATCGGTATAAAGACAATAAAAAAGGTATGAATAAAATATTTGAGATTATATGATTTGATTTGATTTTGTAATGTACAAAATTCTTTTTATATTTTTCAGATTAAATTGGTTTAGGACTGTATTGGTTAAATCTAATTAAATTTTTGGAATTTTCTATGAACAATATTTTGTTTCATTACAGGGTTTGGTGGTTCTACTTTGGGTTGAGAAAGGAAAAAAAAAAAAAAGAAGACCATTTTGTTGGCAATCAATATATAAAGACATAATACAAAAGGTATTCTTCAATGGTATCATTTGGTTTCAATTTGTGACCTATGATTTGCAATATGAATTAATAATCTGAACAAAATTTGTTCGCGCTTATTATCTATTCTCTTCTTTCCATATATATATTTTTTTCCATGTTTGATTTTGAATAAATTAACATTTGTTTCTGATGTAAGCGACAATTTATAATAGATCTTTATGTCCTGCGTTTCTTTTTAGGCTTAATTTTTGTTAATCATATAGTTGGTTTTCTTTATAATTGTCAAGATGATGATTTAATTTATTCATTGTTTTCAAGGCATGGTATACATATTTATATTCTTATTATCGATTTATTTCTATGTGTGTAGTTGCATGGGCTTATTTAGAGAAGCCTGTATTTATCATTTGACAATTTTTTTATCAGTATTTATTTGCCCTGTATTAGACGTATTTTACAGCATCTGCGAGTTATTGTACAAAAATGGGGTCCATATGGTTTTGTTTTGTATGGAAATCTGAATAGTTTGATTCTAACGTACTAATGCTGACTCATTTTTATTTTTACATTATATCTCTATATTACATAGAGACACCAAACCAAATATATCTGATCCATCTTTCTACAACATTCTTTTTTTGTTTTTTTTGCAAAAACAATGTTTTAGAACTAACTACCAATTGATAATATTAGATTACATTTGACCAAAGAAATAATAATATATTATCACTGTCAATGATATCCATTGTGAGTATCTTTAGGAGAAAGAGAAGAGGAGAAAACACGTACATATTCTTCCTTTTTCTTTCTATGTGTTTTTGGGTGGAGGATATGAGAGATTGTTGATGTTTGGCTTCTGTGGCTATGTTTGACTGTTTTTGTATTGATATTGTTATTCCTTTCAGGGTTGAGAGATCAACACAGAAAGCGTAAGAAATAGATGAACAAAGCAGATTGAGCTGAATAATCTCGATCAAACAACAATCATAATTGTAAGCTCAAGAGTAACTGTTTTTGTGTTAGTTGCATGTCTTAGTAGTTAGCAATCCTTTCCTTTACATTTGATGAAATCATTTATGCATTACTGAAGCTTTGTTATGCACCTAGTTCTTTGCTTCTCTTGCCTACTATCGTTTTCTACTATTGAAATACAACTTTATACATGTTTTATAAACTTTTAAAACCCGCAGCAACGCCCGGGCTCTATTACTAGTTTCAGACTACATGCTATCATGGAACTCATGAACAGAGACAAATTCTTATTTTAAACTTCCAAATTTTACAAAAACAAGATGAGTGGTGATCCCCCTCAACATGGCCAATCTCCTGCGTCCTAGTGGTAGTCATGGACTACCGTATGAGAGTAATTATTATATACAATCAGGTGAACAATATCAACATGTGCCTTATGGGGTTCTCCATTATGGTGATTCTTCATCACATGTTGGTGGTTTTCTGCCGTCAAATACACCACCTAGGCATCTCTATTCTTACTATGGTGGTAGCCAAGACGGCGCTTCATCATCGTATGGTGGTGGTCTTGAATCACATTTGCTTTATGGGGTTCCCCATTCTGGTGACTCTTCATCACATAGTAGTGGCCATGTTGGTGGCTATCCGCAAAACTCACATATACCGTCAAGTGCACCATATGGTGATAGTCTTGCACAACATCTGTTCTTGACGGTACAAGTGAGTTTTGAGGATAGCCACCAATATGGCCACCACTATGTGATGAAGAGTCACCAAAATGAGGAACCCCATATAGCAGATGTGATACAAGACCACCACCATACGATGATGAAGCGCCGTCTTGGCTACCACCATAGTAAGAATAGGGATGCCTAGGTGGTGCACTTGACGGCGGATAACTAGCATCATGTGATGAAGAATCACCATAATGGGGAACCCCATAAGGCACATGTTGATATTGTTCACCTGACTGTATATAATAATTACTCTCATACGGTAGTCCATGACTACCACTAGGACGCGGAGATTGGCCATATTGAGGGGATCACCACTCATCTTGTTTTTGTAAAATTTGGAAGTTCAAAATAAGAATTTTCTCTTAATGGCCGTGGATTAGGAAGGCGAGGTTGTTGAAATGGGTTCCATTTGGTACCCTATTTGCCAATGTTTCTGCAGCTTGTGTCATGGCTGCCCTGTCTTCTGTGAAGAAAGCGGTAAGTTCTTGTGATATGATCTTCGTCCACATCCACTCCATGGCTGCATCCTCACCGTTACTTTTTGTGTTTTATGGTCTCGTGTTCGGAAAGCTTACGGTTCACATATATTTGTCACATTATAAACTGCCAAGTTTGTTACTTTGGGCTCTTTTTCTCTCGTCAAGGTTTTAGAAGCTTCTTGGGGGAATTCTTGAAGTGTACTCGTTTCTTTTACAATATTCTGCGTGTTACCTTTGTCCTGCGTTTTCTTGGTCCATGCTCATGGTTTTTTTAATAGAAAATCTAACGAAATATATCCTTCAGAACTTTTTCTGTTTGCTTAGGTGAACACTAAGACTTGTGACATTGTTGCAAAAGGCATACAATTTGGATTTCTGGGTTACACGAGTACTGTTTCTACCTTCATTGCTGAGTTCAATGAGATGAGAGAGAGCAAATATTCTCGGAGAGCATACGCATACGCCATGGCTACGATATGCACCTCGTTTGGTTTGGGGTTCATGATATATTGTGTACCTGTTTGAACAAAGGGATACAAGTGGTTGCATGCTCAGGCCATTGTTTTGAAGTCTAATCTGTGGCTATACCTTGAGATTTTATTCACCCTCACTGGCTTCAATCTGACCGAAGGATAGGGCACCCTTCTGCCTCTTGAGTGTGTCACAGAATCTTGCGGGAGATACTTACATGAAATATTTTTCTTGTATCCGTCTCTGCCCATAGGCGTTGTGACAGATACATGGGGGTATGCACCTGGTTTCATGTTAGTTTCTGTCATCTCGCAGCAGTATCTCCAGATCGGGCTGCAACCAATGCTAGCTTGGACACCGCCAAGTTCTTATTGTACAACAGGTGCGTTGGCATAACATTCGGAAACAAGAATAATTCATAAATCTATTCTACTGTATTTTACATTTCAATCAATAGCTTCATAATTTATTGTATATCTTTCAACAGAATAGAGATAATGCACTAACACCATATCATTATATTCAAACTGTGATTTGTAAATAAAGAAAAATTACAATGATATACTTACACTAAAGAGGATGAAGGTATGGCTAAGCCCCACATTAAGTCAATCATAACAAGTTAGTTCAAACTATTCATTCACAATATCAAAATAGAAAACTTCTTTGACAAGTGGAAAGGAACACAACTAAAAATACCACCCTAATAAACTAGTTTAGACTATTTATTCATAAGATTCAAACCCTCAATGATAAATGTAAAGAAATACGACTAAATTGTAATATTAAGTAGTTTGCTTGTTAATTCCAATTAGAAACTTATAATTACATCATTAAAGTAGTTTGCTTGTTGAAATATTTAGTCTTTCCCCGAACCAACCACCACGTGATTTTCCACAGCTAACATCAACTTGTTTCGGAGGCTACATTATTGTACTAACTACTAGGACGTCCTTGAACTCGATCTCTACCTTGATCTTCTTTCGAACATGGTGTCTCTCTCTCTCTCTCTCTCTCTCTCTCTCTCTCTCACGCTGCACACACACACACTCATACACTCACTCACTCACACACGTGCACATATGTACAAGTGCCCTTTATTGGCACTGTTTTATTAATAAACATGTTAACGTAAAGTTGTTAAACATGAGCGTTAGGAGGGACTTGTATTACTCATGGTATCATAATTACTGAATGTTTTTTCTCTTCATCATTTTATTTCTAAAGTCATATTTCTTGGGTAGTTATATGGAAAATGTTGGAAGATGTGCCAATGCAGTCTTTGTTCCTAATGCATTTTTGTAGGTTAGTTCTTTCTTCGTGGGGTGGTTGGGAACCGGTTACTTACGAAGCCTTACAACTGTCAACGGTTCGAACCAGAAATGCTTGAACCAGAAAATGCTTGAACTCAGTGTTGAAGGCCTTTGGGTGTTTGATCTGCTCTGTTTTTTAATAGGTAAGATGTCATACTCTAAAGAATTGCTGCAGTATACATGTGGCTGGCCATGGCAAGCATAACGTTTGAATTTCATTTGAATCTAGTTGGTTTCGGCTTTGATGCCTATTATCCAGGGACTTCCCAAAAGGTCACCCATTCTAGTACTACGCTTACCCAAACTCGCTTAACTTCGGAGTTCTGATGGCATTTGGTGCATATGAGTTGTTATGATTGCATTCATTAGTTTATGACTTGTAATTTTATATAACCATTTCTTTGGCCATGACTAACCTTTATGCATAAGCAAATCACACCAGCCCAAAACGATCACACAAAATTCAAAAATATTAATTAAGACAATCCCACGAAATTCAAGAACTTGAATTAATAATCTTTCCCACTCTTTTCTTTCATCCTAGTACTACTCTCGTCCAAACTCGCTTAACTTCGGAGTTCTGATGAGATCCGGTGCATGTGAGTTGGCATGATCGCATCCATTAGTCTATACTTCTAATTTTATATAACCATTTCTTTTGCCATGATCCCTTCACCTTTATCCAATGCACGGGACTCGGTTATAAATGACAAGCGCCATAAATAAGCCGCTAGAAATACGCAAAAAAGAATCATGAAAAATAAAAAAAGTTTGGGGGATGCAACACGAGGACTTTCCAGGAAGTCACTCATCCTAGTACTACTCTTGCCTAAACTCGTTTAACTTCGAGGTTCTGATGAGTATCGGTGCATGTAAATTGGTATGATCTCATTTGTTAGTCAATGACTTGTAATTTATTTATCCATTTCTTCAGTCATGACCCCGTAACCTTTATGCATGTGCAAATCACACCTACTCAAAACAATTGCACGAAATTCAAAAATATTAATCTAGACGATCCCTTCAAATTCAAAAACTTGAATTAATAGTCTTTTCCACTCTTTTCTTTCATCTCCCAATCATGAGACTCGGTTGTAAAAGACTTGTGCCACAAATAAGCATCAGAAATACGCAAAAAAAAAAAAAAAAAAAAAAAAAAAAGAGGTGAGAGGATGCAACACAAGGACTTACCAAAAGGCCACCCATCCTAGTACTACCCTTGCCCATACTCTCTTAACTTTGTAGTTCTAATGGGATCCAATGCATGTGAGTTACTACGATCAAATCCGTTCTCTATGACTTGTAATTTTATATAACCATTTCTTTGGCCATGATCCTGTAACCTTTTTGCATGTGCAAATCACATCTGCTCAAAATGACCACAAGAAATTCAAAAATATTAATCAAGACGATCCCACGAAATTCAAAAACTTGAATGAATAGTCTTTCCCACTCTTTTCTTTCATCTCACAATCACGAGACTCGATTGTAAACAACATGTGCCACAAATAAGCTACTAGATATACACAAAAAAAGAATAATGAATAATAAAAGAGGCAGGAGGATGCAACACGATGACTTCCCTAGAGATCACCCATGAAATCTCGTTCTTGGATTTCACTATTATAATGTACATGTTTGTATTATTGAGATTTTATACTATTTTTCGGGAATTTAAATTAATTTTAGATTTTAATTACTTAAGTACAAAGTTGAATTTTTGAAAAATAATTATTTATAATCCTGAGACCTTCGGAGGTCACAAGTAATGATTTCGAATAGATCTCGAAACCACGAACGCATAGGTGGAAGCCGTTTGTGAGTCCGGAGTCTAACGATATAGTTACTAGAATTTGAAGTCGTTTTACTAAACTATAGTTTTTGAATTAGTTAAACCCCCACCATGTGGGAATTGGGCTTATCTGGTGTGAGTAAATTTCGGGCCAATCTGCTTTAAGAAAAAGGGACCAATTAGTTAAAGGGGGGGATGAACCAATCAAGAAGAGAAGGGTATAAAAAAAAAAAAAAAAAAAAAAAAAAAGGACCCTTCCGCACCAACCCGACCAAATTCCGGCAGATTCTGCCATTTCTTTTCGTCGAATCACCACCATCCAACACCTGCACCCTCTTCCGCAACTTCCCATCTACCATCTTCACCCAAATTCGAAGGGTTTTAGGTCTAAAATCGTGTAGAACTTCACCGGAGAACTCGATGGTTCTTGAAGGCGACTCCGCCGTTTCGGCGAGTTTCACCACCCACCACCACCCTTAATCATCCCCCCTTGGACCCTAGGAACAAGATCCAACCAGTTGTAGGAGCGTTGGAACACCGAGGAAGTCGAACTGAAGAACACCCATTAGGGTTTCCGATGGGTTTGAGTGGAACTGGAGTTCTTCCCGGCCAAATTGGACTTGGCTACAGGTATGAACATTGCTCCTCTCATTGAGATCTTCATTTTTGTGAAATTTGGTAATTTTTTAAAATAATTGAATTTTTCGGCAAGTCAGGGCGGCCCACCTGTCACCTACGGTGGCGCATTATAGCTCTGCAGTTTACTAACAAGTTTATTTTTTCTTTCTTTCTTTTAGTTGAATTAAATATTACGTAATGGATTAATCTTGCTCAAAGTTTTGTGTGGCTGGGTAATTACAAATTTTAATTGTTCATGCAGGTACTACTTGTGCTACAATCTTGACCAAGACTGTTTATACCGATTGTCTTGTTTTTTTTCACCTATATTTTAATTTCATTCACCATAAAAAGTTATGGTTAAAAAATTGAAATGTTATTTCTCCACTCGTTATTTTTTTAAAGTGGTTATGTTTGAAATTGGACACGGTTACTATTTATGAAACTAAACATGGATGCTACATTATTTCTTAAACAGAGTATTTATGAGATTGAACACGGATACTACACTATTTTTTAAACTAAATAATGATTATTTTTTAAAACTAAACACAAGTACTATCACTATTTGTTAAATTAAACACTGACTATTTATGAAACTCACATAAGTACTACACTATTTATTAAACTCACTATTTATGAAACTGACACGACTACTACATTGTTTATTAAACTGACTGACTATTTATGAAATTGACACATGTACTACACTATTTATTAATCTGACGAACAATTTATGAAACTGATACATGTACTACACTATTTATGAAACTGACACGGGTAGGTACTACAATATTTATTAAACTGACTGACTATTTATGAAACTGACACATGTACTACACTATTTATGAAACTGACACGGGTAGGTACTACAATATTTATTAAACTGATATAAGTACTACACTATTTATTAAACTGACTGACTATTTATGACTACACAATTTATTACACTGACTAACTATTTATGAAACTGACACAAGTACTACACTATTATTAAATTGACTGACTATTTATGATAATAAATACTGACTTTTTATAAATTGAAGTTCATGCATGCATGCGTGCCCTTCTAATTAATAGAGGATAATGCTAAAAAAATCAAATTTTAAACCGAATGATAAACACATTAATTAACGTTTAAGTAATAATTCAATCATCAACATTCATATCACTTAAGTTACAAAATTTGGTAAAAATTTGGTCTCGATAGTATTAACAACTAAAGAGCGAGTATGTGTTAATAATTGATTGGCACATATATAATTACGCATGTATGGTAAGGAAAGAAGAAGATCGACTCGGGGCTCGGAGTACCAATCATTGACAACCAACAGTACTTAAGTTAAAGATAAATATTAGTTATTACTTCCAAAATTCAACTTCAACTTCAAATTCAAGTAGTACATCCAAAGAAGCTTTCATGAAAAAGGCTTGGACTAAGTTTATTTTAATAAAAAAAAAATCATGCTATAATTTTATTTAATTAAAAAGACTTAAATTTTAATGAAAAACCCTTAAATTTTAATAAAAATGACAAAGGAACTTAAATTTTAATGAAAATGATATAATTTTAACATTAAAAAAATCTGACGCGCGGACCCACGCGTCCTCATGTTGTTTATGAAACTTATGACACTGTTTATGAAACTTACTGCATTGTTTACGAAAACTTATGACAATGTTTATGAAACTTACTACATTGTTTATGAAACTTAACAGTACTATTCATAAAACTTAACGGTACTACATTCTTCTCTTTCCTCTTCTTGAATATTCTTGGCACATTCTCACCTTCCAAACACATTTTCTTCTTCTAATTTTCTTCAATACTCATTAAAATACAAAGATTTAAAAATCATTTTCAGTAGTTTTCCTATGAAAATATATACATATATTTATCTTTTTGTTGCAAAACATTAGTGTGATGACGTATTTAAAATTCTCTCTGTCCAATGCAAAAAATCATAGCAAAAAATTGAAGCACCGAAACGAAAATCAAACAAAAATTTGTCTGCCGTGTAATAAAAAACAGAGGCAATTACGAGTAGTTGATTAAAGTGTAGTCTGATGGTTTGGATCTCAATTTTTACTTTTTTAACCTTTAACACGCTGCTTTCTCCAAGTCTGATGGGGTTTTTTGGGTTTTTTATGTTGTTTTTTGTTTTTTTTTTTGGGGTGGGGGGGGATTTTTATTTTTTTTTTATAAGTGATTTTTTATTTTTTTCTTATCATTAAATAAAGTTAGTTTATGTTTTTTTTTATAATTAAAATGCAAAGAATTGAAGTTTTTTTCATTAATTTTCCTTTAAAAGAATTTAGTTTTTTACTTTTCTTATTTTGTTTATATTATATTGTTATTCAAAAGAAGATTGAGGGAGAGGGATGTGGAACAAGAGAAGAATCTCTTCCACCAAGACCACCAAATAAAGTGATCCGAACTTTTGAAATTTCAATCTCACAGACACGCATCAGCCATGCATGGCACCTGCCAGTGTAGAGTTTAATAATTTATTGACTTTTAGATGAAAAGCCCAAATCCCATCTCTCCTTGTTGTACTGAATTGACGTTTACATTAATTGGGTTCTTGTTACTTGCATTTTTTTATTTTATTTTTTTGAAGTGCCAAATAGAGGAACAGTCATTGGTTGGAAGAAAGCCAATACCACAATATCAATGCCTGGACCTTTCAACTCACAGTGTGACAAATAATCACATTTTAAGAATAACATTGACAAGGTTACTAATCCTCTTCTTTAGGGAAGTCTACGAGGATCACATAAAGCTTGGGGAGACTGGACCCTTTGAAAGCCCAAGGTGAACTTCCATTGCATGATGCGTCCACAGACCAAAAGGTTTCAGATTCCTAGGGGCTCAGGTAATCCTCAAAGCCAAAATCATTCAGTCTTCCAATCATAGCTTCCAAACCCAGCATTGAAGAAGGAATTGGTCCGGCAGACCTCTGGAATCGAGAAGGGAATCCATCTTCAGTGGAAATGCACTCCCTGTAAAATAATGTGATAAATAAAAACAATACGTAAGAACAAGTAAGAAATATGATCCATTATTCAAATTGGTGATATGATAAATAAAAACAATACGTAAGAACAAGTAAGAAATATACTCTAGACCGTTTCACTATTGACCTTCTAAATTTGAGATCCGAACTCGATTAGATCATGTAAATTTTAGATCAAATCGGTTTATTTTAAATTAATTCTATGACGGAAGATTCCCTTTTTTTTTTTTTAATTTTCTTTCTGAACATGGTACCAAAATATCTTTCTCTGTAATTTAGTACCATTATTGTATTCATGAACAGTACATGTACTACCTTCACGCTAATCGGATGGACATTTGAAACTTTGAATGAACAGAACATGACAAAAAAGAAATATAAAATACAAGTCAAATGGTAAACTCACAGTAAATACAAGCCTATAAATTTCAGACTACAGGCTATCATGGAACTCATGAACAGAGACAAATTCTTATTTTGAACTTCCAAATTTTACAAAAACAAGATGAGTGGTGGTCCCCCTCAATATGGCCAATCTCCTCGTCCTAGTGGTAGTCATGGACTACCGTATGAGAGTAATTATTATATACAGTCAGGTGAATAATATCAACATGTGTCTTATGGGGTTCCCCATTATGGTGATTCTTCATCACATGTTGGTGGTTATCTGTCGTCAATTGCACCACCTAGGCATCCCTATTCTTACTATGGTGGTAGCCAAGACGGCGCTTCATCATCGTATGGTGGTGTTCTTGTATCACATTTGCTTTATGGGGTTCCCATTCCGGTGACTCTTCATCACATAGTAGTGGCCATGTTGGTGGCTATCCGCAAAACTCACCTATACCGTCAAGTGCACCATATGGTGATAGTCTTGCACAACATCTGTTCTTGACTGTACAAGTGAGTTTTGAGGATAGCCACCAATATGGCCACCACTATGTGATGGAGAGTCACCAAAATGAGGAACCCCATAAAGCAGATGTGATACAAGACCACCACCATACGATGATGAAGCGCCGTCTTGGCTACCACCATAGTAAGAATAGGGATGCCTAGGTGGTGCACTTGACGGCAGATAACCACCATCATGTGGGATTTCTTCCTCCTCTTCAAGGCCTCCAGACGTTGTGTCCGCAATCAACAATTGCGGTTGGGAAGGAGCAACTAATGATGTCGAAGAAAAGCTGCTGGATAGTTTTCGTGTGGTTTGGGGGAGGGCTTTGGATTTAAAGAAGTGAGTCCTTTTGTGGTAATGTTTTTTGGAATCAGCGAATCTGACGGTTAAAGTTACTGAAAGATATCGAAAGCAAATTCTTGTTTTTCGTGCATCATTGTTTTTTCGTGCATCATTACAAACTTTATGGCACAGTACTCGAGTTTGCTCCACAACGACTCACCTACTTCACAAAAAATTTACCCCACACATGAGTAGCTCCGTGCCAGCTCCTCAGTCAGTTGAAGTACATCTCATCGGCCTTCAGCCTTCAAGGGTGATGAAAATTGGACCCTCCGTTCAAAGGAAAGGAGCAACGACATCTCCACCTTTTACAAAGGAGTAAAGAACATGAACACCTCCACATTTTTATTCACGAGTGAACGGTCGAGATTAACTCGTTTAGTTCTTGTTGTAAACTAATGTGCCGGAAAGAATGATGGCGATCAAACTATTAATAAAATGCACACTGGCGCACGTTCTTCCATTTAAACAAAAAAAAAAAAAACAAACCTCCAACAGAAAACGATATGAAAATACTAATTGATTTGGCAACTATTTTATCAACTCCTCTGGCATCAATGACTTCTCAGAAAAATTGATTTCGCGTTGTGGTTGTGGCACTAGATACAGTGTCAAGCGTGGACATACTGGAAACAGAGAGAGACAATTAAGATGACGATTACTTCCGAATCTCGGATTGAGTTTAGAAAACCACACGAGGAACCAGACACATAAATGTTTGAATATACTGGAAGCAACAGAAGCTAGCTCGGTAGGTCTCCAATTTCCGATTTCCAAGCAATGTTGCATATACAAATCAAAGGGTCACTTCACAATGCTGCTGCACACCATATTTTCAACGTGCTTGATCGAGAATGATGTTCCCCCTGAGAGCCTCACCTGTTTCCAAAGGCAAAGAGCAAACATTGGCCCAACGAAACGAAAAGCAAAACGATGCAAGATTAAACACGGGAAACCCTCACAACTCCATAAACATTTCGTTACTATCTTGTGTCGCTAACAAACAAGAATCGAAAAACTGAATCTCAAATTGTGTTTCGCAAACAAGAAGCTACTACCTATTACTAAACCAATCAATACGCAGGGGGTTTTGCATCTCTAAGTAGTTCCAGTTTGACCCAATACACGTTTCAATGCAGGATCTAGATTGACTTAAATCGCAAACAATGCAATCAGTTGATTTTTGATCCGTCCAAAACGAACTTCTTCCTCAAGTGAAAGTGTGTGCACAGAAAATACATTGAATAAAGCTCTAGCTCTTATCACTGGTATTGCAGCAAATTAACTATGAAAGAGAATAAAGACTACCAACAAAGATTACTATTATATAAAATAAATGAAGGCCAACTCGTTGCAACCTGAAGTAGATGATTACAGGTATATTTCATGAGAAAGTCAGTGGGATTCTCTACAACATCTCCCCGTAGTACAACATTTTGAAGGAAAAACCACTGCAACAAGCATAAAACTGAGGCAACGGACCATGTTTTGCTCTCAAACTTAACCTCTAATAGTAAGGACAAGTAATCATCGGAAGCATTACGTAACCCAACCCTTAATATTACATACTGTAAAGGGGCGAGGCCTAGACCCGCCTTTTCCCTTAACTAGCTGCCGAACTCTAGTTACAATTCTCGAATGCCTAAGAACAAAGCTTTGATTTTCTTGATATATAGCACAACGGCGTTAGCCCTTATCCTCTACATATCCATACACTGACTCTATTAATCATGGACATCAAACACGAATGGAAGTTTTGAAATGATTAGTTCATAAGAATAAAAATGCATACAATGCCATAGGAACCAACTTGTATAAAAAACAATAATGGCAAGAATAGCAAATCCAATTCAGTTTAACTTAAAGGTGTGCAATCTGAAGACATATATCATTCATTTGTTGTTCAATGATGATGATGGTTCAATTAGATTGCAGTTGCTGCAGATGATGTGATTAAGTTGTGGTCTTTTAACTTAGACACAATAGACTTCAATCCAACCAAGGACTGCAAATGAAATGAAGGCCGATTCATAGAAACTTGAAGTAGATGATTACGAGTATATAACATGAGAATGTCGGTGGGATTCTGTGCAAGATCTCCCTGTAGTGCAACAGTTTGACGAAAAACCACTGCAACAAGCACAAAATTGAGGCAACAGAAGAGACCATGTTTTGCTTTCAAACTTAACATCATCGTAAGCACAACTATTCGTCCAAAGCATTACGGAACCCATCCCTTAATATTACATACCCGCCCTTCCCTTAACTAGCTTCCGAACTCTAATTACAATTCTCAAATGCCTAATGACAAAGCTTTGTCTTCTTGATATACAGCACAACGGCGTTAGCCCTTGTCCTCAACATATCCATACACTGACCCTAGTAATCACAGACATCAAACACAGATGAAAGTTTCGAAATGACTAGTTCGTAAGTGTAAAAATGCATAAAATGCCATAGGGAGCGGACAGGCCGCCCTTTCATTTGTTGTTCAAAGATGATGATGCTTCAATTGTATTGCAGATGACGTGTATACTTGAATAGTTGAATGACAACAAAAGTTTGACAATGCTTGCTTGTTGTGTTTCTATGGATGTAGTACAGTTAGAAGTTAAGGCCGCATGCAGGAGAAAGCAAATACAGTTAATGTGATAGAATTGGAAAGTTACCTTACAGACAAAACTTACAGGGCAAAGCAACCAAGCACGGCTGCGTGAGCAGTCCCAAAAGATTCTCCGCACCAATCGTATTCAAAGATGCGAGTGGAGAGGGTGTCGGCCTTGAAGGAGGAGAAATCGAATGATCTTTTTGAATCGCAGCCACCATCATTATAATTATAATCATCATCAGCAGGACTGGTGATGGTGGTACTTGGTTTGGAGAAGGAAAACTCAAAAGTTTGAACAAGAAGACGCATCTTCCAAAGACCTATTATTTTTGGGTGCTTGATGGGATTGGAAAGAACAAAGCAGACTTTTGAACCTCCTAGATGAGCAAAGCTATAATCGCATCGCCCCCAAAATTCACTTGGCAACCTTGGCTCCAGAATATGGATGGGCTTAATCCAAGTTCCGGAGTCATTGGAATCGGTACTGGACAGTTGACAGGCTACTATGCCCCAATTAGAACCAGAAGCCTTATAAAGGCCGTGGTGGTCCGCGTAATAATCTTCATAATAATGATAGTTATGTTCCAGGCAGCTAGTGAAGGCTTGTACACTAGGTGCGAAAGCGTAGGTGAACATTAGCTGACCACCAAGGAGGACCAAAGCCGTGCCATGGGAAGGAAGACGAGGAGGAGGGAGCCGTCTCCATCCTAGAGCGGGTTCAGCAACGTCGAAGAAGAAGAGCGGAGTTTCTGGGGAGGAGACCATGATCTTGGTGCCAACAACTGCATAAGAAAAGACAGGAACAAGCCATCTGCTTCCGACGAGGGGATGATCCGGAAGAGGATTCCAACACTTGTTTCGAGAGTCGAATACCTCGCAAGCCGGAGAAGCAATGAGGATTACAGGAGAGCCGGCAACAGCATAGAGGTCGCTGTTGATGTCAACCAGAAAGGGGCGTGTTTTCCCTTGCTTGAATTCCCCGAGGGGGCTTATTTCGCGCTTAATGCTAGGATTAGAGTCCTTAGTGTCAAACACATACACTTGTTTACTCGGATCTTCTGCGAATGGTCCGAATCCACTCCGTGGATTGTCTGGGGTTGGGGCCGGCAAGCCGCCGGCGAACAGAATTTTGGAGCCAAAGACTCCGCAGCCCATCATGAAGGTCCCGTTGTGCATGGAAGCCACTTTGCGTAAGTCGGACGACTCACCATTGGAACCGTCGGCCGCCGCACCATTGGAACCGTCGGCCGCCGCCTTTCTTCGGATCCTTTTGGCTGCCTTGGCTTTGGCTTTGCAAGTGGGGCATCTGGGAGATTGACAGCTTGCATCAGGTTTAATCTTGCAGGAGCAATTTAAGAGATCGCTCAGTTCGATGGCGTAGATTATGTAACGGCACCTGTCACAATCCGTATACTTGCGCTCCTCGATGCATATATACAGACGACGAGGACGAGTCTGCTCCATCTGTCCTCCTCCTGATCTCAACTGCAGCTCTTGGGTTTTTCCTCTTTCCGGGTTTGTGAGAAAATCAAATAAGGATGTCCCCTTGAACAAATAACACACACACACACACACACACACTCTGATCATAAATCTCTAACTCTCTTTTCCAAATAACACACTGATCCAAAACAGGGAATATAAAATGCACGTCCTTATACGTTTGTAACTCTCTTTTTCAACGTCCAAAATAGGGTATTCTAAATCTGTTTTTCATTCATCTCTCACAAACCAATCATACATTTAAAATAGGCCTTGAATAAAAATAGGGCATATAATTATACACCTCAATATGCCTAAGAACCAACTTTTCTCCTCCAACGATTCAAATTCCTAAATATCCCAAAAATAGTAAATCCATTAGTACTATATAAATGAAAACGCAATTTAAATCCATCAAACAAAACAATTCCACAATTTAAACGATTCAATCCTACTACAATTGAAATTCACGGAGAGAATGAAAAACCAGAACAACAAAATCTGTAGCACCTAAAAAGTTGTCATACAATATGTCAAGAAATCTAGTTCGTTAATTTCCCGCTGCTAAGGGGCATTATGTAAAAATAATTTAACAACTTTAGTAGTACAACGAATTAACTACTTATCCGGTGGGTTGCACTTTTATTCCAATTGATAAGGAAAGGAAATTGAAAATCAACCCCTTGGTCTTAGTTGTGGCTGCAAAGTGCAGGCCACCACCAAGTCTCAATGTTTTAGCAAAACACTTAAATAAATTAATTTCTGAAATGTAAAATATATTCCTATAACTTTAAGATGCCCATATAGTATTATCAAAGTCGAATGCCTGATTAATTTTGGAGTTGATATTTAAAGTTCCCATTTAATTTGTATTGGAAGCATTGTTAGACTATGGGTACGAACATAACATTGCGGGATTTCTTCCTCCTCTTCAAGGCCTCCAGACGTTGTGTCCGCAATCAACAATTGCGTTTGGGAAGGAGCAACTAATGATGTCGAAGAAAAGCTGCCGGATAGTTTTCGCGTGGTTTGGGGGAGGGCTTTGGATTTAAAGAAGTGAGTCCTTTTGTGGTAATGTTTTTTGGGATCAGCGAATCTGACGGTTAAAGTTACTGAAAGATATCGAAGGCAATTTCTTTTTTTTCGTGCATCATTACAAACTTTATGGTACAGTACTCGAGTTTGCTCCACAACGACTCACCTACTTCACAAAAAATTTACCCCACACATGAGTAGCTCCGTGCCAGCTCCTCAGTCAGTTGAAGTACATCTCATCGGCCTTCAGCCTTCAAGGGTGATGAAAATTGGACCCTCCGTTCAAAGGAAAGGAGCAACGACATCTCCACCTTTTACAAAGGAGTAAAGAACAAGAACACCTCCACATTTTTATTCACGAGTGAACGGTCGAGATTAACTCGTTTAGTTCTTGTTGTAAACTAATGTGCCGGAAAGAATGATGGCGATCAAACTATTAATAAAATGCACACTGGCGCACGTTCTTCCATTTAAACAACAACAAAAAAAAAAAAAAAAAAAACCTCCAACAGAAAACGATATGAAAATACTAATTGATTTGGCAACTATTTTATCAACTCCTCTGGCATCAATGACTTCTCAGAAAAATTGATTTCGCGTTGTGGTTGTGGCACTAGATACAGTGTCAAGCGTGGACATACTGGAAACAGAGAGAGACAATTAAGATGACGATTACTTCCGAATCTCGGATTGAGTTTAGAAAACTACACGAGGAACCAGACACATAAATGTTTGAATATACTGGAAACAACAGAAGCTAGCTCGGTAGGCCTCCAATTTCCGATTTCCAAGCAATGTTGCATACACAAATCAAAGGGTCACTTCACAATGCTGCTGCACACCATATTTTCAACGTGCTTGATCGAGAATGATGTTCCCCCTGAGAGCCTCACCTGTTTCCAAAGGCAAAGAGCAAACATTGGCCCAACGAAACGAAAAGCAAAACGATGCAAGATTAAACACGGGAAACCCTCACAACTCCATAAACATTTCGTTACTATCTTGTGTCGCTAACAAACAAGAATCGAAAAACTGAATCTCAAATTGTGTTTGGCAAACAAGAAGCTACTACCTATTACTAAATCAATCAATACGCAGGGGGTTTTGCATCTCTAAGGAGTTCCAGTTTGACCCAATACACGTTTCAATGCAGGATCTAGATTGACTTAAATCGCAAACAATGCAGTCAGTTGATTTTTGATCCGTCCAAAACGAACTTCTTCCTCGAGTGAAAGTGTGTGCACAGAAAATACATTGAATAATGCTCTAGCTCTTATCACTGGTATTGCAGCAAATTAACTATGAAAGAGAATAAAGATTACCAACAAAGATTACTATTATATAAAATAAATGAAGGCCAACTCGTTACAACCTGAAGTAGATGATTACAGGTATATTGCATGAGAAAGTCAGTGGGATTCTCTACAACATCTCCCCGTAGTACAACATTTTGAAGAAAAAACCACTGCAACAAGCATAAAACTGAGGCAACGGACCATGTTTTGCTCTCAAACTTAACCTCTAATAGTAAGGACAAGTAATCATCGGAAGCATTACGTAACCCAGCCCTTAATATTACATACTGTAAAGGGGCGAGGCCTAGACCCGCCTTTTCCCTTAACTAGCTGCCGAACTCTAGTTACAATTCTCGAATGCCTAAGAACAAAGCTTTGATTTTCTTGATATATAGCACAACGGCGTTAGCCCTTATCCTCTACATATCCATACACTGACTCTATTAATCATGGACATCAAACACGAATGGAAGTTTTGAAATGATTAGTTCATAAGAATAAAAATGCATACAATGCCATAGGAACCAACTCGTATAAAAAACAATAATGGCAAGAATAGCAAATCCAACTCAGTTTAACTTAAAGGTGTGGAGTCTGAAGACATATATCATTCATTTGTTGTTCAATGATGATGATGTTTCAATTAGATTGCAGTTGCTGCGGATGATGTGATTAAGTTGTGGTCTTTTAACTTAGACACAATAGACTTCAATCCAACCAAGGACTTTAAATGAAATGATGGCCGATTCATAGAAACTTGAAGTAACATGAGAATGTCGGTGGGATTCTGTGCAAGATCTCCCTGTAGTGCAACAGTTTGACGAAAAACCACTGCAACAAGCACAAAATTGAGGCAACAGAACAGACCATGTTTTGCTTTCAAACTTAACATCATCGTAAGCACAACTAATCATCCAAAGCATTACGGAACCCATCCCTTAATATTACATACCCGCCCTTCCCTTAACTAGCTTCCGAACTCTAATTACAATTCTCAAATGCCTATGACAAAGCTTTGTCTTCTTGATATACAGCACAACGGCATTAGCCCTTGTCCTCAACATATCCATACAATGACCCTAGTAATCATAGACATCAAACACAGATGAAAGTTTCGAAATGACCAGTTCGTAAGTGTAAAAATGCATAAAATGCCATAGGGAGCGGACAGGCCGCCCTTTCATTTGTTGTTCAAAGATGATGATGCTTCAATTGGAATGCAGATGACGTGTATACTTGAATAGTTGAATGACAACAAAAGTTTGACAATGCTTGCTTATTGGGTTTCTATGGATGTAGTACAGTTAGAAGTTAAGGCCGCATGCAGTAGAAAGCAAATACAGTTAATGTGATAGAATTGGAAAGTTACCTTACAGACAAAACTTACAGGGCAAAGCAACCAAGCACGGCTGCGTGAGCAGTCCCAAAAGATTCTCCGCACCAATCGTATTCAAAGATGCGAGTGGAGAGGGTGTCGGCCTTGAAGGAGGAGAAATCGAATGATCTTTTTGAATTGCAGCCACCATCATTATAATTATAATCATCATCAGCAGGACTGGTGATGGTGGTACTTGGTTTGGAGAAGGAAAACTCAAAAGTTTGAACAAGAAGACGCATCTTCCAAAGACCTATTATTTTTGGGTGCTTGATGGGATTGGAAAGAACAAAGCAGACTTTTGAACCTCCTAGATGAGCAAAGCTATAATGGCATCGCCCCCAAAATTCACTCGGCAACCTTGGCTCCAGAATTTGGATGGGCTTAATCCAAGTTCCGGAGTCATTGGAATCGGTACTGGACAGTTGACAGGCTACTATGCCCCAATTAGAACCAGAAGCCTTATAAAGGCCGTGGTGGTCGGCGTAATAATCTTCATAATAATGATAGTTATGTTCCAGGCAGCTAGTGAAGGCTTGTACACTAGGTGCGAAAGTGTAGGTGAACATTAGCTGACCACCAAGGAGGACCAAAGCCGTGCCATGGGAAGGAAGACGAGGAGGAGGGAGCCGTCTCCATTCTAGAGCGGGTTCAGCAACGTCGAAGAAGAAGAGCGGAGTTTCTGGGGAGGAGACCATGATCTTGGTGCCAACAACTGCATAAGAAAAGACAGGAACAAGCCATCTGCCTCCGACGAGGGGATGATCCGGAAGAGGATTCCAACACTTGTTTCGAGAGTCGAATACCTCGCAAGCCGGAGAAGCCATGAGGAGTGCAGGAGAGCCGGCGACAGCATAGAGGTCGCCGTTGATGTCAACCAGAAAGGGGCGTGTTTTCCCTTGCTTGAATTCCCCGAGGGGGCTTATTTCGCGCTTAATGCTAGGATTAGAGTCCTTAGTGTCAAACACATACACTTGTTTACTCGGATCTTCTGCGAATGGTCCGAATCCACTCCGTGGATTGTCTGGGGTTGGGGCCGGCAAGCCGCCGGCGAAGAGAATTTTGGAGCCAAAGACTCCGCAGCCCATCATGAAGGTTCCGTTGTGCATGGAGGCCACTTTGCGTAAGTCGGACGACTCACCATTGGAACCGTCGGCCGCCGCACCATTGGAACCGTCGGCCGCCGCCTTTCTTCGGGCCCTTTTGGCTGCCTTGGCTTTGGCTTTGCAAGTGGGGCATCTGGGAGATTGACAGCTTGCATCAGGTTTAATCTTGCAGGAGCAATTTAAGAGATCGCTCAGTTGGATGGCGTAGATTATGTAACGGCACCTGTCACAATCCGTATACTTGCGCTCCTCGATGCATATATACAGACGATGAGGACGAGTCTGCTCCATCTGCCCTCCTCCTGATCTCAACTGCAGCTCTTGGGTTTTTCCTCTTTCTTGGTTTGTGGGAAAATTCAAATAACACACACACTGATCATAAATCTCTAGCTCTCTTTTCCAAATAACACACACTGATCCAAAACAGGGAATATAAAATGCACATCCTTGTACGTGATAAGTTTGATTGTCCTTTTCGTTGTAGGACTCTATTACTTAGGATTGTTTTGTTTTTCAATAAGTTCCTATTATGTAGGAAGACTTGTTCTACGTAAACTATTTCCTTGTGCACGTTACCACTTTCCGTTAGTGTGGATCGTGGGCTATTTTTTAGGGTTTCGTTAACTATGTAAGGCTATATAATAGCCAACGTTTTTATTCAATAAACAAGTTATTCTCCCAGTTTGCTTGAGTCAGTTGCAGTATTGCTTTTGGTATTTTTGTTCTGGATCCCAACAATACATTTGTAACTCTCTTTTTCAAAGTCCAAAATAGGGTATTCTAAATCTGTTTTTCATTCATCTCTCACAAACCAATCATACATTTAAAATAGGCTTTGAATAAAAATAGGGCATATAATTATACACCTCAATATGCTTAGGAACCAACTTTTCTCCTCCAACGATTCAAATTCCTAAATATCCCAAAAATAGTAAATCCATTAGTACTATATAAATGAAAACGCAATTGAAATCCATCAAACAAAACAATTCCACAATTTAAACGATTCAATCCTACTACAATTGAAATTCACGGGGAGAATGAAAAACCAGAACAACAAAAACTGTAGCACCTAAAAAGTTGTCATACAATATGTCAAGAAATCTAGTTCGTTAATTTCCCGCTGCTAAGGGGCATTATGTAAAAATAACTTAACAACTTTAGTAGTACAACTAATTAACTACTTATCTGGTGGGTTGCACTTTTATTCCAATTGATAAGGAAAGGAAATTGAAAATCAACCCCTTGGTCTTAGTTGTGGCTGCAAAGTGCAGGCCACCACCAAGTCTCAGTGTTTTAGCAAAACACTTAACTAAATTAATTTCTGAAATGTAAAATATATTCCTATAACTTAAGATGCCCATATAGTATTATCAAAGTCGAATGCCTGATTAATTTTGGAGTTGATATTTAAAGTTCCCATTTAATTTGTATTGGAAGTATTGTTAGACTATGAGTACGAAGATAACATTGCGGCCGGATATATTGTGTGAATCTTGCTATGGAAAAGTCTTGTCAATAAGCTTAGAGGAATTATATTTCTTGTAGGATTATGAGTACTGAAAGTAATCCAATACATGGAGGATTGAACTTGGTACTGTGACTGCAAGTCAGTCCAACTTTAATGTGTATTGCTTGTTTGAGTTCCAAAAGGATTCTAATAGGAGAATGTTTGGAATAGTTCTACATAAAACCTTAGCCACTAGTCTGCAAAGGTCTGCTCGTTTTAGTTCCAATTATATACCTATTGTTTGGAGAGTACTTCGATTGATATAAAAACATAAAACTAGACAAATTTTTATTCCCATTTAGTCCCATTCTGATGAATCTGGTTGAAACCATGGCTAAAAACCAAGCTCCAATACATTCTCTTCAAAGATAACTTCTCAACCAATACAAAGATGTAACGACCGTCCCCAAAAACTATGGTTTTTATAATTTTAAAATGTGAAATTTCGAAAATGCTCTTCAAGGCAAATGCATTGACTTTTGTTGATCGCCTTGTCGAGTCACGTAAGATCCATTTTCTTAGCATATCCTCGTAGTACTCATCGCTACGAACGCGTAGGCGCAAACAGAACGTGGTTTGAAGAAGTTATGGGCGAGTAAAAATGGGGACAAAATAGTCATTTAAATATTTTCTGGAATTCTCCAGATTTTTGGAGCAAAATCTAGGAAAGCCACGTGTGTGGCCCAGATTAAAGGGAAGAAAAGATGGGCGGTGGGGATGAAATATAAAGGAGAGAAATGAAGGGCGGGATGCCCAATCAGGAATAAGGGAGAGAGGGAAAGGACCAATGAGAAGAGAGAGTAAGGACAGAAAGGAGAGAAGAGAGAGATGGAAGGGATCGGCCGAATCACCCTTGACCCGTTTTGACCCATGACCCAAACTAGTCCTTGGCGACGGTCTGACGATTTTTCTGCCTTTTTTTCCGGTGATCTAAGGCTCGCCATCACCTGCACATGACTCCACGACCCTTCTTCTTCAAGTTCCACCCCAAAACCGATGGTGTTTGGAATGCCCCATCACCCATTATCTTCTCGCCAATACGATTCTAAACACTCAAGCCACATGAGTGCCATATGGGTGAGTGTTTAAACGAAGGACCACCGCTGTCACCGTCAACAAGCATTAAATGGGGAAGAAAACGAGGATGGATGAGCCCTTGATTTCCATTCTTTATACATATCCAACCCTTCCATAAGACCCCCATGGAAGTTTTCCGAATAATGGAAAATTACAGAATGAGTTGCAAGAAGAAGGAAAACATTTTTGGAGATTTACGGCAGGCAATGCTATTTTCTAGGATTGAATCATTTCTCAAAAAAAGACACAAAAAATAATAAGAGTTAAGCAAGGAAGACACATGCGTCACAGCGGAAAATGAGAAGGTTTTGAAGAAAACTATGACTTGGTAAGGCTATTTAAAGGAAGATCACTAGAAGATCTCACCGTTGAAAGTGAAAGGTTGTGCATCTCGAGATTGACATACACGAAGATTGAAGTTAATTAATAAAACGCATGGAAAAGGCAATCACGTAAAATGAAGGTGTTCGTCATCATGGGAGTTGATATTTTTTCGTGATTCTAAAGATTAGGCTATGAAAATTGAAGCGACTCGACTATGCAGCTTTAATAATGAGCCGGACCTGATTGCAAAGTGAAGACTACCCAGCTTTAATAATGAGCCAGACCAGGTTGCCTCTCAGATGAATAGTTAAAGGCAACTGTGGGACCATGATTTTCCAGGGCCGTATTAAGATTGATCCGAATATTGTTGCCTAAGAAGTCTAGTCATGGACTTACCAGCTCTGGGGAGCTATATCAGATGGAGCAGGGTGCCACCATCACTCTACTTCGAGGTAATAGGCAGAGTCCTAGCTACTCTGCTAGATGGCCATGCTTGTTCACACCTCCCGGGCCTATGGTTTACTTACGGTTATTTCACTGTTTTGCAAGTTGCTCAAGATTACACATATTTGTGCTCAACCACCGCTCGTGGAGGTGCATAGAATTGGTTCCAACAACCTTTATCAATCTAATTCTACCTTGAATCATGAATAAAGAAAAGTTATTTGTCTTAAATATCTATTCTTTCTTTTACTTGTGATGCAGGAAAGTACCTTACTCATTCCAAACAGGGCATTAACTTTGAAAAACTTTGCACAAATGCAATCTAAAAAAGTCCAAAGCAACATTGTCAAAGGAGTTTTCCTTAGCCTAGTCCGTCTTGAATGGTTAATAGCTTGGGAGACTCGAACCGTAACAAGCGCGGTAACGATTGGCGGGCTACAAGAATGAGCACATGGTGCATTGACCCATAAGTCTAATGCACCATTTGGCGTCTGGAAAGTTTATTCAACCAACAAGGTTGTGGGTTATAACATTCAAACTCGGGCTCTATGCCATTCGAGGGGATAGTCGAAAGGGCGGTTAGGAAAGCATCCAAAGGTGGCTCTGAACTTCGACCCCAAGTACGACTACTTCCATGCCAAACCAGCAATTAAGTCGAGTATGTTCTGTAACACCGTGTGCTATCAGGTTTGAATGGGGCATCTAGACTAGCAATCCCCAAAAGGAATTTTATTCCAACAGAGCTCCGATACACGGAAGTGCTTTGGGTAAGTTAATCTAAGTAGTCTGATCGGAAGCGCTTAGGTTTAACGCATAAGGTCCGACAAAAGGATTTAAAAAAGTGTTTTTTGACCCACATACGAACAATGATGAGACCCACAATTGCCACGCCATCACTTAATGGTCAAATTGACAGTTTAGCTACTGAATACATGAAATTATCTATTCTAAAGTTGAGGAGGGATTTGACTATAGCTTAGCTACAGTCAAATTTTTGTCCCTTGATTTTGCCTTATTTACTTCTATGGCTGGGTTAGGGTTTAGGCTCCCCTCTTTTTTCATAGACTTTGTTGGTTTTCGGTAAAAGCCCGACCCTCAGTCAGGGCCGTAGTCATTTAATTACAGATCTACCCATCAAAGCTTAAAATCCGACGGTGGAGATAGTGTACTTGGAAGGGCAATTTTTTCCTCTACGTTTTGAGCGAATTGTGGTGTAGGTTTGCCTTCGTTGTCATTCAATGAAGGTTTCGTGGATAGAGGCTTTGAGATAGGAAGGGAGATAGACATTTTTGGGATAGAATCCTCGTTCTAAGCCAGGAGAATCCTAGAGGATATCTAGTGGGTAGATACTGTATCATCTTCTGAGTTATGATTACTTGCTGCGCATGCCTATCTCTAGATTGTGGGGACTCCAAGACTTATAGGATTTGCTTGTGTCCATACCTAGATCAAATTGTGTGTCTTGTGGAACAAGTATGGTCATCCAATGGAGTCAATAGGACTTTGCCTGTTGTCCCGGAGTAGAATGATGGTGGCACTTTGCTCCGTTTGATACAGCTTTACGCGAAGCTGGTAAGTGCATGACCGGACTTCTGAGGTAACAGTATTTGGATCAGCCTTATTCTGGCCTTGTAAAATCATGGTCCCACAAGAGAAAATTATTCCAACGGATCTCCGTTAAGTAAGCTCTACAACACCAAGTGATTACTAGATTTGAAGAGGGCATCCAGACTAGGTAATCCCCAAGTGGAATTTATTCCAATAGAGCTCTGATACGCGGAAATACTTTGGTCAAGTCAACTTAGGTAGTTCAATCAGAAATGCTCAAATCAGATGCATAGAGCTCAACAGAAGGATTAAAAAAATGTTTCTTATCCACATGCTAACGATCATGCTCCCAAAGTGTACACCTGAAAAATAAGCATGTAACAGTGCCACGCCCTATTGATAATGCAATGTTATAGTATTAAAGACCAACACTATAACACTATATTACCAATAAAATGTAAGGCTACTTGAGAGGAATACAGTAAAATATTTATTTTTATGCAATACGGAAGCGAAAATCATTTTGGTAAATCAAAGAATAAAAGGGCAATGGGATTTGAATAACA